CTTTTTTTAACCAACTTCAAAAATCCTTTCTCTCTCTCTCGGAGATTCTGAATTGTGTATGCTATCTCAGAACTCCAACATTTAGAAACAGTTTGAAATTATAACTTTTTTATCTGAAAAGATACACTTTCAGATTGGTCTCACAGAAGTTACATGAAAATCGGTTCGAGGAAGTAGTTTTGCTTTTAAATCAAAATAACTAATTTTGCTATGTAAATAACTTTTTTTTTTTTATGAAACAAAATCTACTTGTTAATGGATGAAAATGGATTGGTAACTCTGCCTGCGCCCACCAATGAGAGTTGACAGATGACGATGGAGTCATTTCAGTTAGTCCATCGTGACAAATTTACCAAAAATCAACTGTAATGATTTCTAGGGGAGAGTAAACAGTAAAATTCATTTCATTCAATGTAAATCCATGTGTACACCACCATCATGTTCATATCAGCCTTTAACTGTCCACTGTTGAACATAAGCCTCCCCTTGAGGGTTTTACCAGTAGCTGCCACGCTTGGTAGGCAGATTGACAACTGCAGTTAGACTTTGGAGATGTTTTAAGAGGGACTCTGCTGCCCTTCGCCTTCACTTAGTCGCCTCTTATGACACCTACGGGAAAGAAAGGAGTGGTCTATTCTATGCCAGGACCACGCAGCCAGTGTATGTGTACAGTGTACCTTAAATATAGTTTATACACCACAACTGTGATTTAAGTCAAACACGTGACTCGGTCAATCAACGCGTAAAGTGTTACATATGGGTAGACATCCAATATTACCGGAAATATTAGCAAACTAGGCATGCGTGCCGGTTCGTATCGAGTCGAGGCTTAACCAATAAACGTACTTAGGCCGCGTGCACACTTGTGTATAATGTATATTTATACTCGTGGGAAACCTATTTCGACCCCAAGGATGTAACTACTTGGGGTCGAAATCGGTTTCCCAGGAGTCGACATAAACAAAAACTGATTTTGAGTGTCGACGAGGTATTAAAATCGACTGCTAATAATTAACACAAATTCTTATTCGCAGTCCATCTGAAAGAGCTGACGCTTAACGTCGCTCCCCTCTCGCGGGCTTGGAGTGCCTTCTGCACTCGCCCCTGCACACGCGCCCGGTGAAGCTGTAAAGGCCATCTGCGGCCAACAGCAAAAACGGTACGAAAAAAAAATCTTATTTGAAACTCTAACTAGTAAAGTAATTTGTATAAATAATTATCCATTAAACTTGATATAGGCGTGTTTCGCCAAAACAATGGCATGCAAAATTTTAATATTCATAGTAATTATTTACTTTTTAAATACTAATGACAAAATATTATGTATGTGCTTATAAAGTGGAATCATTTTCTAGTCCGACAAATCCTTACTTGAGTAATAATACTTGTCCAAAAGCCATTTGTACAGTGTGCTCTTAAAGTGTATATATATATTTTGTAATATTATTAAAAATTCATTTTCATATATATATATATATATATTTGTTAAACTGTAGTCCTTGGAATTCTATTTAATGCCAGCCTATTTGGATATCTTCTATTTCGTGGATAATGCTCTATGGCAGTAATAAAGCTGTTTAAATTTTTCTTTACAAATAGCCTTTGAACGCCTACAATTCCAGGAAGAACGCACGCATTGCGGGCCCTGAAAAAACCTCTTTATCCCTTTTTTGTAAATATTTCGTATCTATAGAAAAAAAAACTAGAGATAGGATTTTTAAAGTCATTCGGGTCTGAGATATAAATTCATTTTAGGAAAGAAGTCTCTTGCCCAAAATAGTTTGGAAATCTATGGCATAATGTAATACGCATTTTGTGTGTAAAGTTAGGTAACTAGGAAGTTGGACTTGTGTCTTACTAGGGTCGGATACCTACAGAAATGTACCGACGGCGTGACGCCGTAAATGCGGTACAATGTTCCCCGATTGTATAATGCGACATTACCCCAGGTACCACTTTTTGACAAAATAGAAATGAAGACTATAGAGTACTAAAGAAGCGACACCACATTGTTGCCCTGCTCACTCAATTTTTGTTTAATGTATAACGTAAAAAAGTTATAAACATTTTACGACTGTTTCACATTTGGACTGCATTCTCTAACAATTTTATATGTTGTTTTTTCAATACAGCACTTGCTCTCTATGCTCTCTGTCCTTTAATATAATCTAATTCTACTTTTATCGTCTCTCGCGCTGATCCATCGAGTGTCGGTTTTTCGTAAAAACAAAGGATTCCAAACTATTACTTAAGAGTGTTGTCCTCTGATATCAAACATTTCTGGGCCACTTTTGTAGTACACAAAGATCTCACAATATATGATCTGGTGCTGTTTGGTAGTCTGTACTCACACAATATCACAATGTATTATGAAATTCAAATTTTAAGAAGAGCAAAAGCTGAATTTTTTACCTTTTCTTCTTAGCTAAAATTGTATTCCAAATAGGAGGTAGAAACATAAAAAATGACAATTCAAAAATGCTTTAATTTAAATTTAAAAGAGTTGAGTATGCGCATTGCGGATAGGGGCCATGATCGCCGTTCTGGTTAGTATCTGGCTCAAAGGATATCTCTGGCAATCCAACGCGGAAATGCCGCAAGTGTCATGGGGACCTTTGGGCCGGGTAGGGATCATGAATGGGACTGATCATTACATTTTATTTTCTTTGTGTGATACTGTGAAATGTATTAGATTTATTAAACATGTAAAATAAATAAACGTCAATTTAAATTTAGTAATTTATTTATTTCTTTTTGATGTGGTTCACCCGATGACGATGACTTTAATAAATCAAGTTCCAAACTTTTTTAACAACTATTTACTTATTACAATTCCATATACAATACTATACAGATTACATTCATTTGAATACAACTTTATAAAGGTAGTAGAATAAGCTGATTGTTCTTTTTCAATCAACTTCAGAAAGGAGGTTGTTGTATTGGTCATATTTTTTTAAGTTTGTTACTTCATAACTCTATTTCTTTTTTGGAAAATTCTTTCTTTATTGAAAGAATATACACACAGTATGGTCATTTAGAAATATTATTAAATGCAGTACAGTAGTTTAGTTTTCAAAATTGTTATTTTTATTTTATTATTGTTATTGTCACAATTAAAGTTGGTTCATAAAGACTAAAACCTTCTCCAAATCTATTTTAACTACTAGAGTGTTTTGTAAGTTTCTATTAAATTTTGAACTTGGCACAAAAGAAAGACACTCAGGTTATGGAATGAACTGCCTGCCGAGGTTTTCCCAAGAGCCTACAGCATGGGGTCTTCAAAAGGGGGGTAAAGAGGTTTCTTTAGGGTCAACAACACATGTGTGATACCTCTGGTACTGCAGGTGTTCATAGGCTACGGTAACCACTTACCATCAGGTGGGCCATATGCTTGATTGCCACCTCATTGATATAAAAAAAAAAAAACAAAAATGTATATAATTAAAATAGATTTATAAGATGTGTGATGTTATTATAAACAAGAGGGTTAAGTTTTTTACATATCAAACAAGTTACCAGCCCACCTATTTTAATATGGTATCGATAACCTATACATGTGAACAGCACTATGGACATCATAGAATGAACTAGCTATGGGATACCAATGGCATGAATCATAGAATATGATTCATGCCATTGGTATTCCATATTAATTGCCATTCCTGAGATTTAAGACATTATGACTTTGTACTAAATTAAAGTAAAGCCATCAAGTTCAAATATTTAGCAGCAAAAACATGATTGAGAAATAGATACTCATATCAGTACTATAGTCTTTGTTCGATATATGAAAATCATATGAAAGAACACTACACATATAGTATGGGAATCAGTATAAGTATTATATACATATATATAAAGCAAAAATTCGTATAGCTATGACTTGTGTTCAAACACTTTAAATCTGTCTTCATATCTATAAAGACAATGTTATAGAGGAGATTTATTATATAAATACTATTTATCTATCATTATACGGATTTAAAAGTATTTCATTATATGTAGATTTATTAAAAGTTTCACAACTGTACAATACAAGTATCAATACATATTAAATATACCTGTTTTATCACTAGTCACATACTTTTACTACTTCCTTATAATGCTAGCTGTACTTTCATAGTTAAATTTTATTAAAAAACCCAAGTATTATAAAATGTATCTTTTTGGAATAGACAGAAAAAAATAATTCATTGATTATTAATACACAAAATTAAATTATAATTAAATTCTATATTTTTGAATACATAATTATTAGCTTGTGATGTGATAAAGGCATTTAATGAATAATCTAAAATTGTATATCACACAAAAACCGACTTCAGTTGGTTAAACAAACTAGTTTTTTACCTTACTGAATAAATTTTGTTAAAATTTCTATGGGACCACTCTAAAAGTAAATCCTTTCAGATAAAAAAAAATCTAATTGGCTTATAACTAACAGTTATGAGGTGACAAACATAAAAAATAGAACCAAATTTAGAATTTCCCCTTTTTTTGAAGTTGATTGAAAATGCTGATATTATTAAATGGAAATCACAAGGTCTTTCTTATGGACACCACCTTATTGGATGGTGTTGGTAATATTTATTGCTTTAATTTTATTTTAAATAAAAAAATAAATTTGATTCATTTTATTAAAAAAAAAATACGTTTAAAAAAATTAAAATGTTAAATATATATAATTTAATGTAATTACAACAAATAATACAAAAATTTACTTTCAACTGTAAACAAGTATTGTAATCAACCTTGAAAATATGTGTAATAAGACTCGTGTACAAATATTTAAACAAGCATACATTATACTTGACATGTAAATGAAACAACCAAGGGTATTAAAGAGAAACTAATAAGAAATACTTCAGTGCCTTAATATCAATAAGATTTATAACCAAAAAAGTAAAACACTCTTAACATAGATGAAGGTTCTATTATAACATTTTGAAATAAACATGGTCCTAACAGTTGTTTAAATAATTAAATATTATACTTACGGCCATCACCATTTCGAAGGGATACTTATGTACCCTAACTGGAGACACGTAATCCTGAACCATTTTTTTATAGTTACTTGAAAACAAACAAATAAAAAGGATGTTAATAATCCTTCACGATCACTATTTCACACAATAAGCATGCTGTTAAAACTCCCTTCACTCCCGATCCCGTACGACAACAAAATATCTTGACGTCAAAACGTATTCAACGACGTCGTCGTAAACTCGAATTGAAATGAGATTATGAAAGAAAGAAAACGAACTGCCGTCCTTCCATATGAAACAAAATGGATTGTTTGGTCTGAAGTTTGGGCCAAATCAAATCAAAAACCATTAATATCAAAACTGTCAATAATGACAACAAAGTAATGTTGTTATATTACAAAAATATTTAATCTTAACATGATCACCATCCAAAATAAATTCATCGTCATTAAAATTTATTGAATACTTCTTTTCTAGATAAGGCAGTAATGTGAACGTTCAGAAAAGTTTTATAGTCACAATACGAAATTTCATATTTAGAATCAATTAGCCAGTATATTTATTGCTCAGCTTTAAAGTATGCACATACATTTTAGTGCTGATTTGACACCTAATAGGCGTTTCTTATATTGTTAAACTAGTTAAATATATTGATTCCTTGCATTTAGAAACATAATTAGTTACACAGCAACAAAATAAAAAAATAAAATTCTCTTTGAAAAGGGCTTTTATTCAGAGCCGTAAAACTTAGAATATCAATTTTAAGAAATATTTAAAAATAAAAAAATATATATTTTTCAAAAATCATCTCCAACACCAATATATTCATTTTAGATAAGAATATATAAAAAGAAAAGTTTACCTAAGATTGGGAAAGACATTTTGTAATCTATAATTAGAGTACCTATAAAATTGCTTCAAAACAAAAAAATAAATGAAATATCATTTCCGTAGCTATTTTCCACGTTGCTTGTTGCTAACTTCAAGACAGTGAGTAAGCGAGCTTGATGAACACGAACCGCGAATGTCCATCATCTGAAGACTAATTTCATTGTCTTGTTGAAACGCAAAGCAAAATTCTGGCAAAATTGTGCGCGTTCGTGCCCGATGTCTAGTGCTGAAGTCGCCGATAATTCCGTTGACCCCCCGGCGAAAAAGCGGAAGCTAAACACAGAAGAATCCCGTTCCAATTCCTCTGCAATGGCGAACAATGGAACGCGTGTGGAAGATGAAATCGACGAGAGTTTGTATTCGAGACAACTGTATGTGCTGGGACATGATGCCATGCGCCGTATGGCGAGTTCGGATGTTTTGGTCTCAGGTCTTGGAGGACTCGGTGTGGAAGTGGCTAAAAACGTGATTTTGGGTGGTGTGAAGTCTGTCACTTTACATGACGAGCGGACTTGTACAGTCGCTGACTTGTCGTCTCAGTTCTACTTGTCTGAGAAAACTATTGGCCAAAATCGTGCGCTGGCGTCATGCGAACAGTTGTCAGAACTGAACCACTACGTGCCGACTACGGCGCACACGGGACCTCTGACTGAGGAGTTCCTTTCTAAATTCAGTGTCGTAGTACTGACGGGAGCGTCGCAGGCTGAGCAGGAACGCGTGGCCGCAATCACTCATTCTAAAAATATTGCCTTGATCATCGCAGACACGAGAGGTCTCTTCTCTCAAGTGTTCTGCGACTTTGGTCCTGAGTTCTCAGTTGTGGATGTAACAGGTGAGAACCCCGTGTCTGCTATGGTAGCGGACATCACACATGAGTATGAAGCTGTTATCACATGTTTGGACGACACTCGTCATGGTCTTGAGGATGGAGACTATGTTACTTTCAGTGAGGTTTGTGTTATTTTTATTTAATTAATACTTAGTACTAATAAGTAGTCACTCTATTTTACAAGTCTCTGTAATATAATAGTCTGATATCATTCTGCATTCATTTATTTTATATTTAGAAACTTGAAAACTTTAGTTATGAATATTGTTAACAAGTAGTTAAGAGTAATAAGAATCTGATAAGAACTAAGAAATGTAAAACCGTAATTGTATGTAGCACAACATTGTTCCAATTTGATAAAAATATTAATATGAGACATTGGAAATAATTTATATGAAATGACTATTTTTAATATGCATTTTTATAATGTTCTAATATTAAAGCCATTTGTGACTCTCAACATTGACATCTCTTATTAAATTTTATTAATTTAAATACTTATTGCCCTGTAGGTCCAAGGAATGACTGAACTAAATGGTTGTGAGCCCAGAAAAATCAAGGTACTCGGTCCTTATACCTTCAGTATTGGTGACACAACCAGCTTCTCCAAGTATGAGAGGGGCGGCATAGTTACACAAGTCAAGATGCCTAAGAAACTCAACTTCAAACCTCTAAAAGAGTCCTTCAAGAATCCAGAGTTTGTGATCACAGATTTTGGGAAATTTGACTACCCTCAACAATTGCATGTGGCTTTTGCTACCCTCCACAAGTACCAGGAAAGTGAGGGCAGTCTCCCGAAGCCATGGTGTGATGCTGATGCAGCAAAGTTTATTAATTATGCTAAGTCTCTAGTTAAAGACCAGGAAATCTTTAAAGATGGTGAAATAGAATTGAATACAGAGCTTTTGGAAACATTCAGTAAGGTCAGTATTTTATTATTGTTTAATCTGTATATTTGTGATACATGTCCTATGTCATGTAGTTCTGGCATAGAATGGGCCACCCATTTTTCCTTTCCCTTGTATGTTGAAAGATACAACTTAAGAAATTTAATAGTTGAGAGATGAACAGCAGCATCCCTATTAAAACGATCACCAAAAATAAACTTTGGTTGCCTACCTGGCAAGTACTGGTAAAACCCCCATTATGGGGAAGACCTGTGTTTAGCAGTGGATAGTTAACAGCTGATATGGTGATGATGAAGAGAGTTAATGTAGCCACATAAATCATAATAATAATTAATATAACTCACTATACTCTTAGTGTATAATGGCTTCAGATGGAGACTGTACAAAAGTTGATTGCTTGGGTACCTCTATCCCATTCATGTTTCAATCGTGAAGCAGCTGTGTTTGCATGGCTGTTTCGGTTTGAAGGGTGGGATATGGCGTAAATTTACTGGGTACAAAGGAATAACACCTGAGTCCTCAGGAATGGCAATACATGAGGGGTATCATGGGCGAAACAGTATACTCTGTTATGTCCATGGTACTGCTCATGTCTATAGGCGACGGTTACCACTTTCTATCAGATGCGCCGTCAGCTTGTTTGCCATTCTAAGTTATATAAAAAAAAAGATTTCAGTAAGTTGTACAAGTATGTATGTATATATGTGTCTCTGATGATAAGTTTATTAATCTACAAAGTAGACAAGAAGATTTTTTAAATTTTGTATATCTATAGTTAGATATTACTTTTTATACTCATTCAGGTTTCATCTGGGGATTTGAATCCCATGAATGCAGCCATTGGTGGTGTAGTCGCCCAGGAAGTAATGAAAGCCTGTTCCGGCAAGTTTCATCCCATTGTCCAGTGGCTATACCTTGATGCTGTTGAGTGCCTTCCCAAAGATAGGTCAGCACTTACCGAAGAGTCATGCAAGCCTGTCGGATCAAGATACGATGGACAAGTAGCTGTTTTCGGACGAGATTTTCAGAAAAGAATTGGTGAACTGAAGTACTTCATAGTTGGTAAGTTTCATTGTCTTTCTGCACTTTCTGTTTATTTTAATGGCTGTTTGCCATTTGTTTACTGAGCCGGTTTCGATACCAACAAAAACACGAAATTAAGTCCAAAAATTCGGAATTCTATTTCATGGTGGACCTGCAGATTTTTATTGCCTACATTTCAACGTCGATTTCACCACGTGTAGTCACGACAACAACGTCTTCTATAATAATTGCGTCACGTAAAGTCTCCATAGTGTATTTAAAATACCTACATATAGATTACTATATTACTCATCAAGGTAATGATTGATATGACGTACATAGATTAACCCACTTTTATTGAGGGGGGAGGGGGTGGGGGGGCAGTTGTTAGTAATGCGGACTACAAGTCCCATTGCTAACGATATACCCTTTCAGGTCAAATCATCTTGCTGAATTCCAGATGTACTCATCACGATGGGCTAACTGACCTACCTTTTCATTCTCACCTATCATCCTTCACTGTTGTCCCGTCAGTGTATACTTATAGCGCAGACGAGGATTACCATTCTATTATTATAAAAAAAAAAAACTCTTTTATTGTGTAAAGCACAATGAATAGAAGTTCATACAATGGATATTGATTAACTTTGAGTCATATTTATATAGGTATAAATATACATATGCGACATTTATATTTATATCTGTCCTATTCGTGTTTCTAATGTAATGAATTACAGACAGGTTACAGTAGCATAACACCTTAGTTCGGGGGATTGTTAGTAATGGAGACTGAGAATCCTATTGCTAGCAATATACCCAACCAGGTCGACCTCCTCGCGGTTCTCCCTGGAAACTATCATAGTCAATTCCTGATGAATTCATCATGATGGGGTAACTGGCCTGTTTTCATTCTCATCTATCACTCTTCACTGGTGCTCCGCCAGCGTATCCCGTTAGCGCAGGTAGGCCTACCATTCCATTTTCACCCATAAAAAAAAAACACCTTAGTCCTCAAGATTGGCAACGCATGGGGGGTATCATGGGCGAAACAGTACACTCTGTTATGTCTATGGTAATGCTCATGTTTATAGGCGACGGTAACCACTTTCCATCAGGTGGGCCGTCAGCTTATTTGCCATTCTAAATTGTATAAAAAAAAAGTGTGTTATCCATGTAAACAAAACATACAAAAAAAATCAGAAAATAACGAATTTATCAGCATGTTAAAACAACGTCTAGTTAATACAATCTTTTTTTGGCGGGTAGTATATGCGGGTTGACCATGCCATTTTCACCTATTAAAAAAAAAAACAAGGTGCATGTTTCGTTGTATTTGATTTTATAATGTTTCTGAGATATTTATCATAATGTGCAATGTAGCTGCATTAATAAATAAATAAAAACTACTTTTGCACAAAATCTTTGTACCTTCATACGGTTTTGGAACCGTCTCTAATATTTTGTGTTGTGTAATACCCCCCAAAAAAAAAAAAAACATTAACTTCAGTCGTGGCGAATTCAGTTCTTTTGATTCCAAAACCTAGTTTGTTTTCGAACCAATTTTGATAAAATTTCTGTAGCACCAGTTTGGAAGTATATACATCCTTTTAAATAAAAAATAATTTTCCAAGTCGATTTATAAATAAAGGTATTCTGAGGTCTCTCTTTTCATTTAAGAGTTTCCTCTTGTCGGTGCAACTAATTCATGCATCTTCTTCCAGCCAGCTCTATCCCAGGCCATATCCTTGACCTCCCTATCGACTCTCGGCTGGGCTGAACTTGCCCTTGTACGGCCGCTTGATGACTACCAAAACACTTGTAGGTGTATGAATCATTACCTTTTAATGTTTTACTACTGCACGACTCTGGGGCTCTATAGACAGACAGATAGATAGATACTCTATATTGTTTCCTCCAAAAGATTACAATAGTAAATTTATTATAGATATAAACATTCATTTACATTTGAGAATTTTCTCGTGTTGGTGCGACTAATTCGTGCATCTTCCTCCAGCCAGCTCTATCCCAGGCCATATCCTTTATCTCCCTATACGACATGACGCCTAGTGTTTCCTTTGTCTGTCCCATGTAGTTAATCCTCGGTCTTCCTCTTCCTCTTTTGCCCTCTATCTTTCCTTGTATAGTAATCTTAATTTCTATACTCATAATAAATCTGTAGAGAGGTCAATTCTGTACATGAAATATATTTCCAAAAAACAATCAGGCGGTGATTAGTGATCGATACTGATGCCAAAAATGCAATCAGTAAAATTTTTGTCTGTCTGTCTGTATGTTCGTTATAGAAACAAAAACTACTCGACGGATTTTAACGAAACTTTGTACAATTATTCTTCACACTCCTGGGCAGGTTATAGTATACTTTTCATAACGCTACGATCGATAGGAGCAGAGCAGTGAAGGGAAATGTTGGGAAAACGGGAGAAGTTACTCCATTTTTAAGCTTCCGTAAGTAAAAATGTCCACCCGTGCGACGCCAGGACGCTAGTATAACAATATAAATATGTAATCTAAGATAACAAACAAAAAATGTGACATAGTCGAAACCTCCTTTTTTAAAGTCGGTTGGAAAAATTAATTGCAGTTTTAATTAATTGTTTTTTTGTCGGACGAACGTATCGTTGCTCTCTCGCTAATAACGCCAACGCGAATCGAGTCACTGTCCGACGCGGCCACGTCACACACATTGCTCAAAACAAATTTGTTTACTGATTCATTATCAACATAATAATAATTTTACGACAACGCTCAACACGTGGATAACACAATTTTTTTTTTATAATGGTAACAGAATAACATATTCAAATTGGGAGAAAAGGGATTGTTAGCAATGGAGTTTGACAGCCCCATTGCTAGCAATATGCCCTATTAGGTCAACCTCCACGTGGTTCTCCCTGGAAACCATCTTATTTATTTATTTATTTACACTTTATTGCACCTAGTAAAAGAGAGAGAACAAATACAGTAAATATTAATGAGAAGTGATACAAAAGGCGGCCTTATCGCTACGCAATCTCTTCCAGACAACCTTTGGGTAGAGGACATTGAGAAAAAGACAAAGAGTAGATGGCGCACTATTATATAAATATTATCATATACAAACATATATAGATACATACATACACATACATATATAATATATACATAACATACACATATTAATAGCACACATACAACAGAAAAAAAAATTACGAAAGAAAACGAAGAGAGAACACAGGAAAATAGTACATCTTAAACAGTTCTTGTTGGATTTGTCACGATGGGTTAACAGACCTGCTTCATCCTCACCTATCATCTCTCACTGGTGCCCCGCTGGTGTATACCGATAGCGCAGGCGGGGTTTTTTTTAATTGATGATAATTGAATGGTTACCCCAGCTGCGCTAACGGCCGGTTACCAGCCACTAGCCGAGTACCAGTGTGGGGTGATAAGTGAGAATGAAAAGACAGGTCAGTTAGCCCATCGTGATGGATACACCAGGAATTCAGCACGATGGTTTCCAGGGGGAGACCACGTGGAGGTCGACCTTGGGAGAATATTGCTAGCAATACGACTGATAGTCCGCATTACTAACGATCCCTTTCCCCCACTTTATTAAGGTTTCAATTGAATTGAACATTGTCTAAGATAGAGATGCAAATGCAATATTTTCTTACAAATTGATAAGGAAAATATATTATTTCACGCGACGGTCGCTGTAGCAATCAAGTACATTAATTGCATACTCGTTTACCTACTCTTAGATTATTTCTCGGTAATTTATTTGTTTGTCCATGTACTTACTTATAAGGAAATATTCTGGCTTGTCATTTTACTGTTACAATAAGTAGCAATCAGTTTTAATTTAATGGGTAAAAATGGAATCGATTCCCCGCCTGCGCTGTCGGTTTATGCTGGCGAGGTACCAGTGAGAGGTGATAGTTGAAGATGAAAGCAGATCTGTGGGCTCGTCGTGACGAATTCATCAATAATTAACCACGGTGGTTGGGGGGAAAGGGATTGTTAGTAATGGAGACTGAGAACCCCATTGCTAGCAATATACCCAACCAGGTCGACCTCCTTGCGGTTCCCCCTGGAAACTATCATGGTTAATCCCTGATGAATTCATCATGATGGGCTAACTGGCCTGTTTTCATTCTCATCTATCACCTTTCACTGGTGCTCCGCCATCGTATCCCGTTAGCGCAGGCGGGGTTACTATACCATTTTCACCCATCAAAAAAAAACCACGGTGCTTTCCAGGTGGAACCGCGTGGAGGTCGACCTGTTAGAGTATATTGTTAGCAATAGGACTGTTAGATCCTATTACTAATCTATGCCTTTTTCCCAATAACACGGACTTTGTTTACCATCTTATTTTCATCTATAAAATATCCCTCCTGCATAAAATAGTAAACTTTAATATCTGTACCACCAGGTGCTGGTGCGATCGGCTGCGAGCTGCTGAAGAACTTCGCAATGATCGGCGTGGGGGCGGACGGCGGCGCCATCACGGTCACCGACATGGATCTCATTGAGAAGTCTAATCTCAACCGACAGTTCCTCTTCCGACCTTACGACGTGCAGAAGCCTAAGTCTAGCACTGCTGCTAAGGTAATGTACATCTGGACACTAGCATCTCCTACTTAATATTATAGTGTATTACAACAATATTCAGTTGGAGTGGGTAATATATGAGTATAGAATATTCAATTCAATTCAATTCAATAGAGGAATTATTCAATATGATGCCTGCGGCCACTTTCTATCATCCTACGGCTCGCCATCGACAGGGAGTTCACCCTCATACCTTACAGCCTAAATGGTCGCGTACAACGCGGTTTCAGAGATGTTTTCTCCCACGAACACTCAGGTTATGGAATGAGCTCCCTGCCGAGGTTTTCCCAAGACACTACAGCATGGAGTTCTTCAAAAGGGGGGTAAAGAAGTTTCTTCAGGGTCGGCAACGCGTGTGTAATGCGTCTGGTATTGCAGGCGTTCATAGGCTACGGTAACCGCTTACCATCAGGTGGGCCGTATGCTTGTTTGCCACCTCAGTGGTATAAAAAAAAGAATAGAAAATATTCATACATATTCGAAAATAGATATCCGACCGATATAGGCGATATCGAAATGAGTGGATGACCTTTATTCCGCCATCAGTGTCCGGAGGAACCTAATATATATATATCGAATCGATATCTATAATTCCATTCACAATTCTATAATTTCCTTTGTTGATACCATTTTATTTTATCATTATCGAAGACACCTTTTTTTTCTAATTTTAATTATTAAAAAGAATAAGTATTAATACAGTCAAAATTACTAACGTAGTTGTTGACATTTTTTTTATAATAGTGAACATTCGAGATTCATACAGATAGGTACTAGAGATAAAGTTCTAGAAGTGCGGAAAATAGTAAATTACTGCAGCGGCCAGCAACTGAGGCATTGATAGACGAACGTGCAAATGTGAGCCGAGGCGTAGCCGAGGCATACGTACGTGAGTCCATCAATGCCTAGTTGTGGCCAAGGCTTGTATAGTACTTTCTCAAACAATGCGCGGAAATCAAAAACACAATTTTACTTTTTAAGTTCAATGACGAATAATGAACAATAATATTTTTTCACGCGCCATAATGTTCTTTTGTTTTTTCAATACACAGTTTTCTATTTGCAAGCCAGTTCGAAATTTAAATAAAACCTTTTATTAGTTACCTGTTTACCGCATGTTTCGAAGTAAAAGGTCATTACATTTTTAAATTACAGGACAGATATGAGTTTATTAAATTTTGATTTATCTCGAAGAAGATTGTCAAAACAATGCTCATATTTTCCAAGCATGTTTGAGAAAAAAAAAAAACATTTTTTAAGTCTATGCCATCCCTAATTCTTGTTACATTTTGTTCAGTGACAAACAAACTAATAACGACTTTAGTTTATGAGTAACGTATGTTGATAATACGAAGAAATCAATGAAAACATGTTTAATGCAGGTATCGTTGACCTATCGTTGAAGGCCGCTGGCGTCCATATTAATTCAATAATCGACGCTTGTAGCTTTTAGTGTGTGTTATGTATATGAATGTGTTGATAGCAAAAATATAAGTACAAATAATTTTTTTTTGATGAGTGAAAATGGTATGGTAACTCCGCCTGCGCTAACGGGATACACTGGTGGAGCACCAGTGAAGGGTGATAGATGAGAATCTGCCTATCTGTGTGTATGTATATTTGTTTGTTTGTTCTGGCATCACGCAATAACTACTGCGCCAAATTGGTTACAGTTTTCACAGTTATGTCCCTAAAGGTCTAATTTTTTTTTTTTTTTTTGATGAGTGAAAATGGCATGGTAACCCCACCTGCGCTAACGGGATACGCTGGCGAAACACCAGTGAAGGGTGATAGATGAGAATGTAAACAGGCCAGTTAGCCCATCATGATGAATTCATAAGGAATTAACCATGATAGTTTCCAGGGAGAACGGCGAGGAGGTCGACCTGGTTGGGTATATAGCTAGCAATAGGATTCTCAGTCTCCATTACTAATAATCCCTTTTCTCCCAAAGGTCTAATTTAAAATCCGAATCTGGTGCATGTTTTATTTTTAACAACTATAAAGTACATATCTGAGAGTACATATGCTCCTTTTATATGAGCTTAATCCCCCACCTCCTCCTTCCAGAAAATAAACACCCTGAAATACGCCAAATTAGCACTCGGCCACCATTATCGAGTTATCCGCACTGTTTCAACAATTTTAAGGGAATCCCATACTAATCCTCAAACTTTGATCTCTCCCTTTGAGTATACGGGCAATTGAAAATGAAGTTCTCGTGTTGCAGGCGATCAAGCAAATGAACCCGGCGGTGAACGTGATCGCGCAGGAGAACCGCGTGTGCGCCGAGACGGAGGCCGTGTACGACGACGCGTTCTTCGAGGCGCTGCACGGCGTCGCCAACGCGCTCGACAACGTGGACGCGCGCATCTACATGGACCGCCGCTGCGTCTACTACAGGAAGCCGCTGCTCGAGAGCGGCACGCTCGGCACCAAGGGCAACACGCAGGTACTTAGTTTGGAATGCCACTGTCAAAAGACAATAATATATGGCTGTGTTTCAGATTGAAGGGTGGGATATGGCATGAATTTACTGGGTACAGAGGAATAACACCCGAGTCCTCAGGAATAGCAACGCATGGGAGGTATCATGGGCGAAACAGTATACTCTGTTATGTCCATGGTACTGCTCATGTCTATAGGCGACGGTTACCACTTTCCATCAAGTGGGCCGTCAGCTTGTTTGCCATTTTAACTTGTATATATATATATATGGCATCAAGATATAGCTTCACGACTAAATGTCATCATCCTCATCATCATTGCCTTGTTTTTCCCCTTTTATTTAGGGTTGGGCAGTATGACTTCCATAAATTCCAGATTCCACATTTACCACAGGGAGCCTTTGTACTAAAGTTGTTTGCTTGGGCACCTCTGTCCCATTCGTGTTTCTACCGTGAAGCAGTTGTGTTTGCATGGCTGCGTTTCGGTTTGAAGTGTGGGATATGACAGTGAATTTACAAAGTACAGAAGAATAACACCTGAGTCCCCAGGAGTCCTGTTTGCCATTCGAAGTTGCATAAAAAAAAACCTGACAACTATCATTTCTGGGATTGCTCTTATTTTATGCATATCATCTTTCACACAGTCCACCTACGGTCAGTGGAGGATAATATTTGACGTCTGGTTCATATCTAGATCTTTGGCATAAGTTACAACTTTATGTGTTACGACATATAAAATATTAAAATTATAAAATTTTACTTTTCAAACATAAGTTGAAGTTTAATAAGATTACATGCTCGTTTGCCCCCCCCCCCCCCTGTTTTGTAAAAAAAAGTTGAATTTCATAAGATTATCAGTTTGTACTGTACAAACTATGAAAGAGCATACAATGTAAAATATTGAATGTACAATCAAATCAGCTAGGTCTCCAATAAGCAGTAGTAAACAGACTGACATGAGAGATATATTGTTCGCAGAAAAAAAAACTCTTTATGTATACCTTGGTGTACTGTTTAATACTATCATATTAAAACAACTAAAATTGCAAGCTGCAGTACACACCATTTGTGTACATGGCTCATTCAAAAGGTATATCAACAGACAAAATGGTCATTGCCATTTTGCAGGTTACTAAAAGTAGCTGTATTTGACGATACCACAATAATTTTTTTGCAGGTTGTGGTCCCGTTCCTGACGGAGTCGTACAGCTCGTCCCAGGACCCGCCGGAGAAGAGCATCCCGATCTGCACGCTGAAGAACTTCCCGAACGCCATCGAGCACACGCTGCAGTGGGCGCGCGACGAGTTCGAGGGCCTGTTCCGGCAGGCGGCCGAGCACGCGGCGCAGTACCTGCGCGACCCGCACTTCCTCGACCGCACCATGCGCCTGCCCGGCAGCCAGCCGCTCGACGCGCTCGACAGCGTCCGGGTGAGTGCACTGCCTGCCACATCTCCTTAATGCAACGGACAGCTAAGCTGACAACCCACGTGATAAATAGTAGTAAACGTCATCTGTAGACTTGATCAGGACCATGGACATTGTTAATTACAATTTTGTAATTATGTACTCGGCCTGTTCGAGCAGGCATTTCTTTTTTATTATTATTCTACTGTCCACAGTTGTGTTTCTAGTACTGTGCCATCTTGTTTTCACTTGGACAGTTGTGACGCCAGCTAGAACATTTTTGTTAATATTTTATTAAATTAAACGCACTTATCAACTATTATCAGAGTTTATTCAAAAATGTGGACACAATGGAATTTCCATTGTGTCCACGACGAGACAGACATCAAAGAACATCCTTAAGGATCATGGAATGTCAATACCATTCCCCACACTTGTACATGAAATGTGATGGATCATCATACAACTGCATTACAGCAGAAATCCAAGTGGGACCCATAGGCATCCATGCAGACACTTGTACAAAGTTTGGATCTTCTTTTCTTTCTGGATATCTAGAAACCCTTAGATTAATTCTATTGGAGTAAGCAAACATTTGTAACATGTATATAAAAGGAGTTCGATTTATCGTTAATTGTGAAAGTGCTATAGGCTTCATAACAACCATGTAAATTATGTTTACTATAACTTATTAAAAACTTGAAAATTTTTTAAGTACTTTTTATGGCCTAATCATGTCTATTTATTCCAAGAATAAGAATTTTTTTATGTTATCTTTCAGCACGCGATCAACGAGCGGCCGCTGAACTTCGCGGACTGCGTGTCGTGGGCGCGGCTGCACTGGGAGTCGCAGTACTCGAACCAGATCAAGCAGCTGCTGTACAACTTCCCGCCCGACCAGCTCACCACCAGCGGCGCGCCCTTCTGGTCCGGCCCCAAGCGCTGCCCCGCGCCGCTCGAGTTCGACCCCAGCGACGAGCTGCACCTCGACTACGTGGTGGCCGCCGCCAACCTCAGGGCCCACGTCTACGGGATACCGAACTGTGTGGACAGGCAGTACATAGCGCAGATCGCGTCCAGTGTGCAGGTCATTATTTTGTTTTTATACTGTCTGAACACAGCTGACCATATGTCAGCATCTCTATTTTATTTAATTATTAGGATAAACAAATTCCAAATTTACCATTAATTCTAGTTTTTTTATTATATCTAAAGATTGCTAGAAAGAGATCGCTTTTAACGATAAGACCCATTGTTTTCTCAATATAATTATTTTTTGTGATTGTGTGTGTTTATAATAAGTTTACTACTATAATCTTTTGGGAAGAAATAATAGAGTATTTACCTATCTACACTCATAAATAACACATAGCACTCATTTGATGTTCCATTTAGAAGAATAGAGTTGGTCGAGCAAGCTCCTTTCTGTCTTGCATTGTAATTACTCGAATTATGTTTTGACTCAGTATCTAAAATTAAACATGTTTGCCTCCCAACTTACTGGGGTTTTGTCGGATGACCACTGAGGGTTTATGTTCCAATATTTAAAATAAAAATATTTCTATTATTGATTTGTAGTTATATGGTATTTTACTGATACTTTCCTAGTTGAGCATATTGGGAGACTACAAAGCTTAACCAGTTGATAATATAAATAAATAATAAATACCTTTTCACTTTGTTGCTAACGTCGATAATTGAATGCAGTAGCTCTCTAATATTTTTAAACAGTATATTAATAAAAAGTAAATTTTGAAACAAAAATTCCAGGTGCCAGAATTCAGTCCCAAATCCGGTATAAAGATTGCGGTGACTGACGCCCAGCTGCAGCAGAACAACGACGAGATGGACCAGGACAAGGTGAAGAACATTATCGCCGAGCTGCCACCGCCGAGCAAGCTCGACAACCTCAAGGTCACCCCGCTCGAGTTCGAGAAGGATGACGACACCAACTTCCACATGGACTTCATTGTGGCCGCGTCCAACCTCCGTGCGGCCAACTACAAAATACCGCCGGCAGACAGGCATCGCTCCAAACTGATCGCCGGTAAGATCATCCCGGCCATCGCCACCACCACCTCAGTCGTCGCCGGCCTCGTCTGCCTCGAACTGTACAAACTCGCTCAAGGCTTCAACACGTTGGACGTCTTCAAGAATGGCTTCGTTAACCTCGCATTACCCTTCTTCGGCTTCTCCGAACCCGTCGCTGCCCCAACCAACACCTACTACGACAAGAAATGGACCCTCTGGGACAGATTCGAGGTCAAAGGCGAAATAACACTGCAGCAGTTCCTAGACTACTTCAAAAACGAACACAAACTCGAGATCACAATGTTGTCGCAAGGGGTTTGCATGTTGTACTCGTTCTTCATGCCGAAAGCGAAGCGCCAGGAGAGACTCAACCTGCCCATGTCTGAGGTGGTCACCAAAGTGTCCAAGAAGAAACTGGAGCCCCACGTGAAAGCGTTAGTGTTCGAATTGTGCTGCAACGATGAAGACGGGAACGATGTCGAGGTCCCATACGTCAAGTATACATTGCCTTAATAGAAAGATATGTAACGACGTACGAAAGATCACGAGCCAAAATTTTTTATCGTATTCAATTCGGCGACGCGGCGACGTCGGGTCTGGTGCATTTGAAGCATTTAAGGCATTATACAGTTGCCATTCCACGTAATGGTTCTACACGAATTTCACAATAAAGGGTATTTTTAATGCGATCGTGGACGCGATAGATGTAAACTCGTTTTATACTCGGCTCGGCTCGTGAGGGCCGCGACGGCGGCGGGCCCGCTCTGCGGACGCCAGTGTACAGTGATAGTGTTACCTGTGTGACGTTTTATTTGTGCTTTAGAACACGCTTTCGTCTTCATATTATATATTTATAGTAGTATAATTGTTTGCTCACACCACACCTCTCATCATACGCGCTAGGTTTTTGTTTCGTGAAAATTATTTGATTTTATAACAAATTATTGGATATTTTTAATGTTCAAATCAGATGGGTCTGTATATGGAAAGAAATAATAAATAAAAATTTGAGCAGATGTTTGTTTCAATGAAATCCTCGTGTTGTTCTCAATATGTTTATTGTGTACAAAATTGTTTGAACAAAAATATTATGGTATAGTCTCACTTTATTCAGCTGTTAATGTTACATATATCTAAACAATCTTTGGAAAACTTTTACTACATAGACACAAATGAATGGACATCCAGTTATTATAATTAGTACAAATAGAGAGAATAACATATTTAAAAGTAAGCGTAATGAGTTTGGCATTATATATAGTTTCAATCTCACAAAATATAATACAAAATACAATTGTTGCTATAAATTTTAGACATTACGTTTGCGATGCTTGTTTAAGTGAAATTTCATGATTTAGGCATATACATACACGTATAGATAAAAATATCAATATAAAACCAATTTCTCTATATTGTTTTCAATCTAGACCAATTTCTGAACTGAATTCTCTCAATCTACTATGTCACCTGGACCTAGTTTGCAGTCGAACCATTATAAAATCCTAAACATAACTTGATAGTTATCTACACGTGTGAAAATAATGTGTATCAATTGTTGCCATATTGCATAGTATTGCCGTTTTGTATTTAGCATGCAGTTGCCAAAAATTGGAATTAAACTTTATAAGATTTTAACACAACCTTGTAATTAAGTTTTATAAGCGTTTAGAAATTTAATCGTCGTAATAGAAAACTAAATAGACAAAAAATTGTCCAGTAAAAAAAAACCTTCAGTTCTTAATAATCTCAAGCATCTCCAATGAACAGATAAAAGTAGCCTACCGAGAACGAAGTGACTAGAAATGTTATAATTGTGATGATAATTGGTGAACACCGCAAATTATACATACTCATAAGGGACTACTCACACTTATTCAGCTCCATTCGCGTTTCGCTGAACGATTTTGATCACACTTATACAGCTCTGTAGGCCTACCATGAAATGTTTTCCGAAATTTCGGAACCAAACGAAACACAAATTTGATGTTAAAATTACATAATACAAAATAATAATAGTTTGGAAATATTAATAATGTTAAAATATTGTTCCTTTGGACTTTTATGATAGGATGTATGACGAACGAAATGTTAAACTCCATTTATTGATCCGATTTTGGTATAAACAAAAACACGAAATTGAGTCCGAAATTTCGAAATTTCATTTCATGGTAGACCCGCTGCTTCTATCAGCCACGTACGACGTCGTAAGAATGAGAAAAGCCGTCATAGCGTGCTATCTCCGCTGAAACGCTTGTCTATTGCGTACGGCGTTGAATATGCTGCATTTCGTATATGGTAAATAATTATAATTACTATAAAATACGTCTGCACTCTTTAATCCTTGCGTGCATAATGATTACGCAATAATAAATCAAATCAATGCAGAAACAATACAGGTCGCAACTTGTCGACAGGGAGTCGCGAAACATCCCTGTAAATTATATTATATCTTATGATATCTTCTTGTTATTTGTAAAAATATTCAAAACAATGCTGTGTTGTAGCGAATAAAAATAAATTGAATTGAAAATTGAAATAATGCTATGATTATAGTAATTTACAATGGGACTAAAATAATATTCTTGATATTTTATAAGTGCTTCATACATAAATAGATCCTATGATAAAATGCTTTCATAACCTGTTACAAAGGTAATTCTCATATGAAAATATATTTTAAACTTTTCAACCATGATTATGTATCGTTCATTTTTACATTGTAATCGTTCTTAAAAAGCTATAACAAATTATAACCTTTAAAGATCAGTATCACCATCTATAATAAATCTGTAGAGAGGTCAATTCTGTACATGAAATATATTTCCAAAATAACTATCAGCGGGTGATTAGTGATCCATACTGATGCCCAAAATGCAATCAGTAAAATTTTTCTCTGTCTGTCTGTATGTTCGTTATAGAAACAAAAACTACTCGACGGATTTTAACGAAACTTGGTACAATTATTCTTCACACTCCTGGGCAGGTTATAGTATACTTTTCATTACGCTACGATCAATAGGAGCAGAGCAGTGAAGGGAAATGTTGGAAAAACGGGAGAAGTTACTCCATTTTTAAGCGTCCGTCGCGTGTGCAGCCTTAATGGCCACTTTTTAAAATGTTAAAATGTCCACCAGTGCGACGCCGGTACGGGCCGCTAGTATATACATAATATAGTCTGAAATTTCCACCCGAAAAACTACAAAATTTCAATTCGATCGTATGCGTTCGCCGCAAACGTTCACAAATACGTGTGAGTATTATTTCTACCCTGTCTAATTACACTTATATTTTAGAATAGCCATTTTCTGGTTAAATTTTGGTATTTGACTTGTTCCGTCGTACGTACGACTTCGTAAATACTTTTCATGGTAGACCCTTGCTATATTCCTCATTCTGAACTTGAGCCACATTATAAATGTAATCTCCAATACTATATTTATTAATTTAAAATCACAATTTAAAGGCATAGACATAGACATTTGACAAATGACTACAAAAACGTGCATTAGCTACAAATTAGGCACTTGTGCTTCGGAAGCAAGTGATCATTATTACAATGAATTCACAACTTATTGTATTATAAATACTTAATATTAATTTGTAATCAATTCGTGAAATTATTATGATACCTAAATACAATGTTAAAGCATCACATATTAGCGTTAAAACTTAATATAACCGAATAATGCAGACACTGATTATGTGGTAGGACCATTTCTATTTATACATTTACAAACAGGCTATTTTGTTTTTCAGATACAAAAATTTCAAATATATATATATATATATATATATATATATATATATATATATATATATATATATATATATATATATTTATTTATTTATTTATTCATTAGTACATATATGTGTACATGGCGGACTTAATGCTAAACACATTCTCTCAAACAGTCAACCATAGGGAAGTGAAACAGAATATTACATATAAAGATCCGGTAGTGTTCTAATTATTGATATACATACATACTAAAATTACATATGTAAACGAATAGATATATATAAATAACAAATATACTTACAATTTGATAAATAAATAATATTAGTTATGTACTATTAGGCATCGTAATTTCTATGTAATTGTGACTTAGTTATGTACTTTTTAATTTTTAAAAATAAACAACGTAAATGCATATTCTTGGGATACATTACACTGTAAAAATTTTAGAATCAAATACAAATATAGGAGTAGATTAATCTCATTACTTATTTCTAAGCAATATAGAATATTCTAGAACTTCAGAATTATATATTTAAATACACTATAGGGATTTAGTTCGGTAATAAATTTTGCAGGTAAACGTCGACATTGAAATATGTTACCAGAGGGAGACTTTGTACAAAAGTCGATTGCTTGGGCACCTCTGTTCCATTCGTGTTTCAACCGTGAAGCAGTTGTGTTTGCATGGCTGTGTTTCGGTGTGAAGGGTGGGATATGGCGTGAAATTACTGGGTACAGAGGAATAACACCCGAGTCCTCAGGAATGGCAACGTATGGGGGGTATCATGGGCGAAACAGTATACTCTTTTATGTCCATAGTACTGCTCATGTCAATAGGCGACGGTTACCACTCTCCATCGGGTGGACCGCCAGCTTGTTTGCCATTCTAAGTTGTATAAAAAATAAAATTTACCTGCAAAATTTTTCATTACAGTCCCGATTGTGTATTTAAATATGTGTAAACATCGTGAACAATGGCGGATTTGCCGTAAGACCCAGGAGGCCCGGGCCTAAGGCGGCCAGATATTAGAGGCGGCCAATCGTGACAAAAATTCTCTGATTATAACAAGAAATAACTCAAGGTACGTACAACTAAAAGAAACCTCGGAAAATATTACAAACTAGCAAATAATTAAATTTCTGAATCGATTTTGATAAAAGTTGGCAAAGAAGTAAATGTCATTGTGTACTCAACATGATGGGTGCTGAGACACTGGTGGCTGGTACATACTACATGGCCGGGGGCCCAGGGCGGCCAACACTGCAAATCCGCAACTGAACGCAAAAGTTTAAAACTGTCTATCTTATCTAATATATAAAATTCTCGTGTCGCGGTGTTTGTTACCAAACTCCTCCGAAACGGCTTTACCGATATTTATGAAATTTTGTGTGCATATCGGGTAGGTCTGAGAATCGGCCAACATCTATTTTTAATACACCTCAATGATAAGGGTGACCCACCCCTAAAATTTTTTTTATTTTTTTGACAATTTCTTTTTATTTTTATTTTAATATGATTTAGCATTGAAAAATACATACAACTTTAAATTTTCATCGTTTCACGATCAACCCCTGTATTTTAATCGCGATTTTTATATTTCGCAATAAGTGGTAAAACAACGTTTACGGGGTCAGCTAGTAATTATATACTAATAAATGCTAAATATTTTCAATAACACATTAATTACTAATTTTAACATTTTGATATTAAAAATGCACGAATCACCAGCTGTATAAATAAAACTAGCTGTAATACTAAACATTTGATAGTGTAAAATATCCCCATGCTAATGTTACCAACGTTTACCTAAGCAGTCATCGCATCATTTCACAATGATGAACAGTCAATCACGGTTCAGAGTTCGTGTTTGTACCAGCAGTGTGCGAAGAAGCGCGGGAAGCAGGCGGGCGGCGGGGGCGGCGGTGAATGTCAACGCCACGGGCGGCGCCGCGGGCTCGGCATATAGCGCGAGCGGACCGCCGACCCACACTTGTCGCCGCTAAAAGTCTCTGTACACGACAAATTTATTATTAGCGTAAATATATTAAAATACATAACCTTGAAATTGCCTTCCAAATGTGCATGGAAATTAAATGGAATTATAAAAAATAAAATTATAACTATTAAAAAATAACTATTCAAAAATGCTTAAATTTAAGTTTAGTTAATTAATTTATTTATTACAAAGATTTAATTTTAATTTAAAAATCATCTAAACAATAGTAAAAATAGTAAAAACAATACCACTATCGTTTCAAAACCTTAGAAAAAAAGACGCATTGAAATTTAAAACAAAATGCTCTAATGATAGAAAAAAGTGGTGATTTTTTCTCAAGTACATACAAATGTCTACAATAAATCCTATAATAGATATTTGTAAGTCTGTATGCGTGAACAAAAGGAAATAAACGAAGTTACTGTGCTTTTCATTTCCAACAATTGTTTCGACTCCATCCGGGTCTTCAGAGGGACTGCGGTATTTTTCGACACAACACGGCGCCTCGAAACAACCGCTGCACATAAGCCTTCCCCTAGGGGGGTTTCACCAATAGTTGCCACGCTTGGCAGGCGGATTGGCAACCGCAGTTAGGCTTTAGAGATGTTTTAAGAGGAACTCGTCTCTCGCCCTCCCTTACTCGATTCTAACGACACCCACGGGAAAGGGAGGGTTGGTCTATTCTATACCGGGACTACACGGGAATATACATGTGTACAATTTATGTACACATGTATATCTAAATAGACATCGTTAAAAAATTAACGATGTCTATTTAGACATTGTTAAGAAATTAACGGAAATTTCAAAAATTTTTGTATATTTAAATTTTATTTGAACTGCCTTATAATCTACCATGCGAACTATAGATATTTCTAGAAACATATGCAAATAACTTTAAATGGGTACAATTATAAAAAAAACCTATGTCGTCATGCAATCTAAGATGACATAAACAATGAAATGATAGAATTAGTAAGCCGACATCGTTAATCATTGGCACAAACACAACTAAACATTCATATACAAGCTCGCCCCACACACTGTTGACATACAAAATCGTATATAGGAACTATGATAAGCTGATATTACATTGTACTTTATCGAACGCTTCGCCCCAAATTACCAACCAATCAATCAAACTATCTATCTACGTTTATTATATATATATATATATAGATAGATAGATAGATAGATAGATAAAAAGAAACTTTAAAACAATGATAGCCATGTCCATTAAACAAACATTTATACACCACCACACCACCGCCACAGACAGCCCTCTATAGTCTCTAGCCACGACTCATACGCACAACGGCCCAAATGAGAGGCTAAGCGCGGCAAAGAGAAGCCAATTTACATTACATTACAACTATCTATCTACATGCCTATATCAATCAATCAATCTCTTCTCAATCAAAATATTGCATTCAATCATAAGTGACAGTTTATCGTTACCTCTATGAGTACAGATGGATTGTAAGGGATAGAGACTTAGGCCGCCATTGCTAATAAGTCGGCCCTACTAGGCCCTGCTAGCAATATACCCTAGGTCGACCTCCACGTGTGGACCACGGGAAAACAACATTGGCCGATTCTTTAATTAATGGTATCATATCACAGAGAATGTCAGGGAAGCTCAGATACATGGACAGCAGGCCAGATGAGCAAGAGAGAGGTATACCTATGAAAAGCAGCAGTACTGCTCTATACCATGCTACAAATGAAGAAGAATACTTGGTAAACCTTATAGATTCACCTGGACATATAGACCTTAGTGGCAACCATCGTGCTGAATTCCAGGTGTACTCGTCACGATGGGCTAACTGACCTGGCCTTTTCATTCTCACCTATCATCCTTTACTAGTGCCCCGCCAGCGTGTACCGTTAGCGCAAACACCACTCCACTGTTATCCATTAAAAAAAAACTTCGTGATGAATTCCTCACGATGAGCCAACACACCTGACTTCACTCTCACCTTCCCATCCTTTACTGGTGCACCTCCAGCATGTATCGACAACGCAGACGGGGTTGGGCCTTATTTGGGGGGGGGGGGGAGAGTATATTACTCCTCACCGATGTACTGCCAGCGTATACCAGTAGTGCAGTCGACGTAATCATTCCATTATCATCCATAACAAAAAAATACTGTATCGATATCCATGCAGTTCCGTATGGAAACTATCATAGTTAATTACTGGTGGATCCTCCCTTATCATCCCTCGTTAGTTCCCCAACAGCGCAGGCGCAGTTACCATGCAAGGATCACCCATTAAAAAAAGGCCTTGTTCATTTAAACATAAAAAATTTCATAATCATACTTTAGCTATTGAAGTATGCTATCCTTTTCTTTTCCACTATTTTCTCTATTTGAACAAACGTGACAAAACACTGTAATTGTTAAAATAAATTGTATAAATAAAAGTAATATATAAAATGAATAATTTCATAACATAACGGATGAAGTATAAAAAAAATGTTAATTTAAGGCGAAGGCCCGAAAGCATATGGCAAGCCAATAATCAGGCAAATAATATCAATAGCTGGCAACTTTAATATTTGGTGTTACCATAATTGGACTGAGTCATGAGCGAGCCCGATGTGGGACGCTTTGCGCGCGTTGGAAACACACCGCTGTGGCTTTGCGACATTATGTCCCTGTTTTTGGATTATTCACATATAAAATTTACATATGTAATTAAAATAAACTATTTTCTGGACGAGACTGTAATATTAAAAAAAAAAATCTAAATATCCGCTAATTCTTTATCTACTTCAATTTTATTTCATTTTAAAGGACATACACATAAGGAAGTCCACATTTTTTATTTAGCTACAAAATTTTTGTTTTTTTTTTTTATACAAAACAATCAAATCGTGATAATTTGACATTTTTTACAGATTTCCTAAGGCATAATAGTTTTATATATATATATATATATATATATATATAAACAAAATAATTTTATTTTTGTAATTCCATGTAACAAATTATATCCAAAATTAAGAGATAATTTTACTGAAACATATTTTTATAAAAATCCATGCCGTAAAATATTCTTAATAATTAAATACCAGAAAAAAAAAACTAAAAACAAAAATAATAAAAAAAAAAACTTCACTCACGTTTGTCTATGGTGCCTAGTGACGGGCGGAGTGTGCCGAGCGGCGATCGAGCGTCGCCGAGCGCGGTCAGCCGCGATCACAGCGCAGCGCTCCGCCGGCGTACTCGTCACAAACGTGTCGTGTAGCGAATAGCACGCGGCCGTGATCTAAAAAAGTTCAAGATACATTATAGCAGTTTTTTTTTTTATGTGTGGTAACCCCGCCTGCGCTATCTGTATACAGCGGCGGGGCACCAGTGAGAGGTGATAAGTGAAAATAAAGCAGTCAGTTAGACCATCGTAACAAATTCAACAACGAACCAATCACTATGGTTTCTAGGGGGTACCGCGAGGACGTCGACCTGATAGAGTAGATAATATAGATAGTAGAGTTGTTAGTAATATTATTGCTAATCCTCATTACTAACAATCCCTTCCCCCTACATTATTACAGTCAGGACTTTAATTATCAGCATCATATCCCTCCCAAATTGGGGGGTTTTGCCAGTAGTTGCCACGCTTGACAGGCGGGTTGACTTGACCGAGGGAGACTCTGTACAAAAGTCGATTAAATGCAATTAAAAAATGGACTCGAAGCGATTTTAACCCTCTTGCTCCGAGCCATTTAAATGCAATGCTACGAGAAGATATTGGTGCTGAATTTAACACAAAAAGTAAATAAAAAAATTTATTATTTTGTAAATATTTATTAGGTATAATTTCGTTTGACTTTACCAAAATATCAACTGGGCGATTAGAGTAGTCAAGTAAACTTTGAAGGGAAAAATTATGTATGGGGGCATAAACATTTTAGAAACGTTCAAGTTAGGCATGGCACAAAAAAGGTTGGAAAATACTGCTTTATATTCTAAAGAGATAAAAAACATCGCTACTAAGAACGCAAAATTCTCGTTATGGGGAAGGCTTATATTCAGCAATGGATAATTTTACCGTTGAATTAATAATAATAAAAATATCGTAAGATGGTGGCGCCACCTTCGCAAAGCTTTGCGTAAACTTCCCTATTTAGATCACACAGCTCTGTCTAGAAATGGGTGAAACAAGGGTAATCATGCACATGATTTTGTAGTTTCCTTCTGATTTTCTGTATTATTCATACATTCTAACCCACTAATAAATTTTGTCATCTTATCTTATATTCGCATATGGGGTCAGCTAAGCTGATGCACGTCGACCCATTGGGATCTTTTGTGCTTCTCCCTGCCTAATACCATCATTTCATAGATCCTTTGTGTTACCTTAACGATGTCCCGCGGTTTAAGATATCTGTAGTCCCCTGGCTTTGGATAAGCCATAAATTTTGTCATACATACATCTAAAGCTTAAGAGTAAATATACATAATTTTGACCATTTGCCCCATTTTGAAATATCCACTTCAAGTAAATGTAAATGGAACTACAAGTAATCTACAATCTTAGACTACAAGGACACATCATGCAATTCATATTTTAATTTGCATGCAAATTTAATTCAACAGATGCATGCAGATCAGTAAATTATGCAAATTATAACAACTCTCTGTATATTGGTCAAGACTAACTGTTTATTTGAATAAAGCTGGAAAGAAAGGCACAAAAGTAACAAAAGCCATTTTGGTTAAAAGTTAAAATAGAAAAAAATATTACATAAAAATTAATAGAATTAAATTAATACATAAATATAGAAGAAAATAATATACATAAATGTAGAAAGAGGAAATATATGAATCGTGCCACGAACACCGCGAAGCTCCCAATCACCTGCTGTATAAGCCGCCTGTGGAGGTCTACGTCAGCTCCCCGGATGCCCTCCCTGTCCTGGTGGAGTTGCAGCGCGCACACCAGCGCGTCCTTTATAGTCTGCACCGTCGACTGTACCCGATCCGTTCGCATCAGCCGCCGTACCAAGTAGCCCTTAGCGTGAGCCACGATTTTCGTGGCCGCTGCCCGCTATAATTTTCAATTGTACATAAAATTGTAAAAAAGCAAGAACAGAGCAGAGAGTGTGCATTGGTTATTGACAATAACAGACACAGAAATAACTTGTAAAACTTCAGAATACACCTGTACAATCCAATTGGGTAGGTCGGATGGTAAAGTTAGTTGTTGGACGTAAAAAGAATTAACAATACTAAGGTTAGAACAAGAAAATGAAAGTTAAGACAAAAAAGTACAAGAAAGTAGCAAAGCATAGTGTTAAACGAAAGACAAATTACGAAAAAAAAAAGTCTTAGAACATTATGAAAGAATACTCAAACATGTAATGTTAAAGAATAGGTACCAAAAAATAAATAAAATTATAATACAAATAAAATAAATATGACGTCAATTAGAACATACTATAAAGTCACCAAAGAGTGTTGTTTGACGAAAAATATCCTAATGATAAAATACCTAAGTATTGTGAATATACCTGTTGGGGTGTTGGCTGACAATCCTTCACAGGTTTACATCGTCGATCCATATTGTTCTGTATGGTGTCCGCCATACAGCTTATGGTAGTATCTGTTGACCTGAAATTTGCTGCGGTCATAGGAATAGGACTCTTATGTACCATGGCCAACTCCGTGCCGCAAAGATGGTTCATTACCATGCCATTATATGAATTGCTGTCATCTGTACAATCAGTGGGGAATGTAACATTGAGATCAGCTAAGGTATCGTTCGTTCGGTCGGTTAGCATCGCGTCATATTCGCGGTCTGACGACGCACTCGTGTCGTATAAAAGTTTTCGAGATGTATTCCTGGTAGTGGGCGAGTGTGTTCTAGTTCTGCTCCCATCGGTCTGAGACCTGGACTGGCTATTCTGAGTATGCTGAACTTGTTGCTTCTTAATACTGCCAGTTATGTCTTTGCTCATTTTCAATACGTCATCACAGTGGCTGATGTAGTTGTTAGTCTCTGTTAGAGTGGAAGACATTGGACTATCATACACACTCTGCTCTGGAGACCTAGTGTTGATCAATTGACTCAAACTAACTGGACCGCGATCAGTGCTGCTAGCGGTTTTATCGCCCCAGGCTTCTTTAACTTCAATAGGAGATTTGGGACAAATTGTCTTCAACTGCTTATAAAGCAAGTTGTTTTGTTCCTCGAATACCTGCTGTAAAAGCATTTGTTCACGCTTTTGCTTCTCTACTAGGCTCGCCATTTGGATGAGTTGCTGTTTTTGTATTTTTTCATACAGTTCCTTGACTCGAGCAGCTGGATCTTCTGACTCTGAAATTAAAGGTTTTGGAGAAATGTTTTCATTCTTTTGTATATTAGATTTGGGTGAGGCAGACTCTTTAGCAATAGAACGACTAGCAGTCATATTTCTAACTGGACTCTGAGATTTCTTAGCACTCCTCTGGACAGGTTCTGATTTAGGCAATGATCTGGCGGTAACACTGTTGCGCCGTGGTTTTTCTTGTGTTAGAGATTTAGTACGCGCCGGAAAAGCCTGTGGTACTTTTTTTGCTGTAGGTCTAGACACTGGACTTTTGTTTATACCATTGACTTTAGACAAATTAGTTACATTTTTCTTGTTTAATTCTACAGCCATTGATGACCATTTCACTTTAGCAGACTCAAGATCCCAGCTTCTCCTCTTTTTATTTGGAGAACTAAGATTTGACAAAGACTCACTCATAGATATGCAACTCATTTCAACACCTGTATTTAGTGACTGCACTTCTAGATGAGCTAGAAGTTGAGGACTTGGTTTTAGCAGTGTATAAGATCTTTGCCTTGTTAATTTTGGTCCTATTTGAGATTCCTTCATACTGTCAGTATGTAGATCATTCAAAGACCCTGTGAAGCTCTTGGAACTCAACGAAGATGGTCCATCCTGATTCATAGGAAAATTTGGACATGGATCTAACAAAATATCTTTATCAATGCTGAAACTAAAATCCATAATATTTTCTATTATATTATTTCGATTATCTTGCACTGTGTCTAATTCAGTTATTAACTCTTTTTGGGCCATTTTATTTGGGGAATTATAATCTCTTTCAGGTATATCTATCAGAGTAGTACGTTCTGTTGTATTATTTACTTTCTCTAAAGCATTCGCATCTATTTCATTGATGCTTAGGTTAAAATCAATAATACATTTTTGGGTGTCTGAATTATGGGATTGAGTATCAGGTGATTTCCTTGAAATTATATTAGAATTTTTATTATTATAATCATTAACTATCGGAAGGGATTTAGGAGATTGTTCTGCAAAAGATTGTTCTAATGACTTTTCACATGATTTTTCTATGTTAGCATCAAAATCATTTTGAGGCAAATCATAGCTCTGCTCGGATTCGGGAAGCTCAGGGGCATCAGTCTTATCATCACTGGAATCAGAGTCACTGTCATGTACATATGGTTTGAGAATTGATATGCGCTTTTCAACTTCTTTTGCAAGCAGTTTGTAATATTGCATTTCTTTCCTGCATTCTTTTGACAGCTAAAAGGAAAAAAAAAATTATAGTATAAGATTCAACAATAAAAAATACACTAATAATATTAAAATATCACCTTTAGATGAAGACTTAATCTAATTATTTTCATTATTGTAAAAATTTTCATGAGAAGGATAATTATGAATTCTTGTAATAATAATAACAAATTGGACATATTAATTATAGCTTCTATAAGTCTGTAAATTCATAAAATGGAAATAAAAATATATATATATATATATATATATATATATATATATATATATATATATATATATATATTGCACATTATGCATACCCTGTAACTATCTAGTGGCTAAAAACTTGCCAGTGGGGATATAAAAAAAAATTGGAATTAAGACATAAATGTGGAGGAGCTAAAAAAAGGTGTGTGCATTTGACAATCTATTGCTTTTACCTACCCAAATGAAACACAAAAATGATATTATTATAGCCATTTATTGTGTCTGTTCAACTTATAAATAATAATAATAGTATTTAACAAATGATAAAAATATGTTAGAAGAAGATAAAATACAGGGCTCATAAAGTTGAAATGAAAAGGAGTGTAGCAGAATTAGGAAAATATATGTCCAGGGTTATCCTAAATCAGATTATTTTTACTTCACTTTGTATTTAGAAAGAAATGTACAATACAAAAATATATTTTAAAACAGAAGTATGGAGAAGTAGGGTTTTCTAATATACTGCTAAGAAAACATTGCAAAAGATGAATAATTATTTTAGTTCTATTAGTTTTCATATATATATATATATATATATATATATATATATATATATATATATATATATATATATATATATATATATATATATATATATATATATATATAACAATAGCCACAATAATATTTGCAAAAATATACAACGAAAAATGAAAAAATATACAACTATTTTTTAGATTATACTTTAAGTAACTATTTATTTAAGAATCCAAAGCAAAAACACGATCTTTTCAAATTAGGTTTAGAAGAAACAATTAATACAAAATAGATATAAAATCATATAAATATGGGTATTTGGGGGGGAAAGAGATTGTTAGTAATGTAGTGTAACAAGCCCACTGCAAGGAATACATCAGGGTACATTGATTTGGTTCCCCTGGAAACCAATATAGGTGATTCCTGCTGAATTTGTCATTATAAACCAACTGGCCTGCTTTCATCCTCACCTATTCCCTCTTCACTGTTGCTCTGACAGTATATACGGATAGTGCAGGCAGGGTAACCATGCCATTATTACCCATTAAAAAAAATAAGGGTATTAATTCAATATAAATAATTCTGTTAAAATCTGCTTGTTCATCAATAATCTTATTTTACTTATAGACTAAAGGACAAAACAATTAAACTGTAGGCGCTGGTATTAAGCTCAATCACTTACAACTGGTGGCAATAGAGGTACTCCATTAATCTTCATACAGGACATGTACTGGCCGGACTGCCGCACCGATTTCACATCCCACGGGTCGTTCATTTCGACAATTATATGAGCATCACGTCAGAATCGATCTCGCAAGTTAGGCCGCTGACTTGCGCTACTACCTAACAACTAAATGGATTGCCACTCACTCCCATTACATAGGAAATTGCACAGCACTTTTGAAAGTACCCTCGGCGGGCGTCGGTCACTTTCAACCTTATTCAAAGGGGAGAATTAATTATATTGAAAGCAACGTGCATTTTAATCGAGACGATGTTGTCACGGACTGATTACGTCAGTTAATAAAAATTTTAACAGGATTCTAGGCAAATATTATTAATAAAATTTCTGTAAACACTATTTTTAATGATACTTAACAATTTTACGTGGAATTATGAAAAAAATATATGTAAATTCAAATTTTTTGTTTATTGATGAAAAAACAGTGAACCGTGAAAACAATAAACATGAATTTAATTTTTTTTTTTTTTTTTAGTACGTTTGTTCCGTTTGGAACAGGCTAAGGTCGGAGACCATGCTGCCTAGTCTTCAAAAAGATAATTTGTCTGGAATTTTATTTTTCTAATGTCGCTTCAATTATTGTCATAATCTTCAATATTTCATTTGTCAAATCCGGTAAGTACATTTTCATAAATATCTTTTCTTGAGTTTTCTTAAACCAGTGGATTTATCAAATTAAAAATAAATAATTATAAAAAATCATTGTCTTGCAATTCAATAAAAGTATTCTTATAGCTCCTTGAATGTTGTAGTAATATAACATGAATTTAAATTGATGGGAATGACGTTTCTATGATCTCACTTTTCTGGCAGTCATTTTTTTTTTTTTTAGTACGTTTGTTCCGTTTGGAACAGGCTAAGGTCGGAGACCATGCTGCCTAGTCTTCAAAAAGATAATTTGTCTGGAATGATCTCACTTTTCTGGCAGTCAGTCCTAACATCAGTCCTATTAAGCTGTCAATCATTGCCATAGATTAAGAACTTCTTATGTATTCAAATATTATATATATTTGAATATTTATAAATTGAAATAATGAATTTAAAATTCTTAACTAAATTCTATTCCAAAATATTTGTTAACAAATTGCCTTTCATCTTAAAATCTTTACTTCTGTCATCATTGGGATCGATTATAAGACGTTATTTATCTAAACTTATCTCTTGTTCAGGTACTATCCTGCATCTATAAGATTGGTTTTGTCATAATTTTAGTTCCGCGTCACTTCACATAAAACTAAGTTTGTATATTTATTATGCAACCTTTCACTGAATTTGATTTTATACATTTTATGTCTGATATATTTTGAGCAGACATATTATAAATAATTCATCATTATATAAGTCGTTAACTATCCACTGTTGAACATCTTTAAGAAATCAAAATGAAGGAGAATGTAACGTAGATTTAAAATAAAATATTAATAAATTTGAAGTAAAATTAATTGTTTCAACAGAACTTTAACATACAAGTTGTTAGGTAATGCGTAGAAAGAAGAGTATTGTTATCGTTAGACAAGGACCTCTTACACAAAGTAATACAAATTCAATACATACATTCTAATCTTATTATTTTATTGTGTTGATCGTCTAGATGGTTTCATAAATTCATTTACATTTGAATAAGAGCAGTGCCAGTGTTAACTCCAATACAATAAGGATTGATAGTTGTCAAAATTTTATTTCGCCCTTTTTCCTGTTTTTGTGCCCTTGTTTTTATAATTTTATTGAACCAAAAACCTTTAATATTTACCGTAAGACGAAATTCATTTGATTAATGAACGAAATGACTCGTATATAACCGTAATTTGTTAAAATTAAAAAAACATGTCTTCAGCCGGGCGGCAAGCATTGTTATGCTTTTTCTCTTCTGCATCATTATTTACTGTATCATTTTTCTCTGGAAGTGTACTCGGATTCACGTCGGAGCTATGGGCCCTCACGTACTGGGGTCCCGCACTGTATTTCTGTCTATTTAACTTCATTTTGAGATATTGTTACAAAGGATTTACATATGAGGTTGGTTTTATAACTTTGTTACAAATTATCAATTCTAGTTTATTTTATACACTATTATTTCAATAAACATATATATTTGATAATTACAGGCCATTAACATTCTATTGCTAATCATAAATCCTCCCCTGAGAACTGGAGTTTAGAGAGTTTTATTTTAAAATGTATTTGTATTTTGTGGATTTATTGTGCCCTGTTAATTAATCATCTCTTACAACATCCATTCACCATCCTATGTAGTTAGTATGTAAATACAAAATTTTATAATAATTGGTACTCTTTTATATAATATTTATAGCCTTAAGGCACTGAGAGGTAAAAAACAAACTCCTTTTTAAGCTTATTCATGTTATTATATTAGTTATATTTATATTTTAGGTATTAGTAAGATCAGCTTTCCTCGGCTGTTCATTTGCCATTGGTCTCTACCTGGCAATGTTTGAAGATGGCTGGCGAGTGTTTGGCCTCTACACCATGGTGCTGTCCACCTTCCACTTCTCAGAGTTTGTGGCGGTGGCGCTCACAAACCCCCAAACTCTGTCCATAGACTCCTTCATACTAAACCACAGTGTTCAGTATGGAGTGGCTGCGGTTTCCAGTTGGATGGAGTGGGCTGTAGAGTTCTACTTTTATCCAGGTCAGTTGTATTTATAGGTACTTATGTCAATGTAACATATGGAGTAATACAGTGAATGTTCTATATAAGCAACTCATTTGAACTAATTTCAATAAAAAAAAATCTTATTGGAAAAAGTTATAGGGAAAAAAAGAGTATAAAAATACAGATATAAAGAACACATATAAAGTTTATATCTTTATCTACATATAAAAATAAATAAGTAAAAATATTTTCCAAAAAATTTCCATCTGGAAAATATTTTTGCTTATTTCTTCTACTAATTAAGCTGAGTAGCATAAATAAAATATAAAGAATGTTGCTTATAGAGAGTGTTCACTGTATTTATATTCTAAAGTGAGAAAGTAGTTTGTCAAATAAGAAATTTATTAATTGCTAATTTAACACTGCACATAATGACACTATGGCACACATATGAAAGAAAATATTACTTTTTTTTTCTATATTTTGTTTTCCTTTTTGTACATGCATTCTTTTATCTCTTTTTACTTTGTATGTCTGTTATTATTTCTGTGCTGTAAATAATGCAAATAAATTATATATCTATCAATATTGGGCCATCTCAACATTCCTATTTCTCTTTGTATCAACTAATTTGACTTATATATATTTTTTTAATTGTTAATCATTTGAAATATATTGTAACTTGTATTAACAACATTTCCTCAATTATTCTGCAATTATACCAATTTTATTTTCTTTATATATATATATATATATATATATATATATATATATATATATATATATATATATATATGTATATGTATGGTATGAATCAGTATTCCATGTTACCAATATAGTTTTCAGCAGCTGAATTAGAATTTATACATTCTAGCAGCTAAATAGAAATTGATACAAATTTTGGTGTTTGGTGTCAAGTGACTGTTTACTAAGCTAAAAATTGTCAAAGTTTTTTATATATAAAACAGTTTGATAGTGACCAATGATATTTGCATTTACAGAAATGAAAACTTATTTCTGGCTGTCCAGTGTTGGTGTGCTGATGTGTGTCGGTGGCGAGCTGCTCAGGAAGTCTGCCATGTTTACTGCTAAGACCAATTTTAACCACACTGTGAGTACAAATACAATAATCATTAGGTTTATACTAGTACTAGCTATTACACGCAAAATTGTCCACATTGCCGAGATATGTTTACTGACCACGGTATATGCTTCTCTATTTCATTTACATAGTATATGTATTATCAAATTTCATAGTGATTAGGTGCTATAGAGTAACAAACAAACTTACTTTCACATTTATTTATAATGTTAGTAAACATTCATTTTTAATATACAACTAACAGAGGTTTGTTTTGAATCGAAGCATTTGGCGTTCCATTGTTTCTGCCTACCCTAATGGAAGACAGGCGTGACAGATATGTATGTATGTATGTAACTAACAGGATGGTAAACTAACATATGGTCCATATGAAAATAGATGTTGGAGATATCCAGTATATGGACATCTGCTAAAAATCTTCTATACCTACAGGTTTCAGACCAATGGGGAAGAAAGGGTCTAGAGTGACGACCCTGTAATGTAATGTAATGTAAGAAAGACTCTGTTTTCCGCACTTAGCCTCTCATTTGGGCCGTTGTGCGTGTGAGTCGTGGCTAGTACAGCCAACCTAGCTCCGCCCAGAAGCGCAGAAGCTTCCTGGGTTCTTCACAGGCTTCACGGAGCGACCTCACCGTTCCGAGGATTTCTAAACGTTGATGGGCCACAGCCTCACATTCCAGGATTACGTGAGCAGCCGTTTCTTCAGCGTAAACATTCATTTTTAATATACAGCCTCGACATAGAGGGCTGTCTGTGGCTCCTATTGTGTATAAATGTTTGTTTAATGGACAATGACCCGTTATTGTCCCTATCATTATTTTGAGGTTTTTTCTATCTAGATGTCTAGATTCTATCTAGAGTGACGACCCTGTACAGGCAAACGTAATGTAGGACGATCCCCCACTAGATAGAGTGACGACCTAAAATACATTGCAGGAGCCAGTGGATGCGGGTGGCTTATGATCGTTCCTTGTGGCAGTCTATGAGGGGTGGAGAGGGGGCTATGTTCATTGTAGGATCTTATTCAGATGGTGGTTCTTAGCAAACTGTACATGTTTCTTTTCTAGCTATATGTTAATATGCAATGCAATATATGACAGGTGCAGTATGTCAAGCGGCCTGACCATCAGCTGGTTACCCACGGCGTGTACGCCCTCTGTCGGCACCCTAGCTATGTGGGATGGTTCTACTGGTCTATTGGCACCCAGGTATGCCATTATATTTGTTTCCAGATATATTTTTATGTTTTCTTTTTATTTCAGTTTAAAAAAAAATTAAAAATAGTCATAGATTATTTTTTTATGCAATTTTTTTTATACAACTTAGAATGGCAAACATACTGACGGCCCACCTGATGGAAAGTGGCAACCGTCGCCTAAAAACATGAGCAGTACCATGGATATAACAGAGTATACTGTTTCCCCCATGATACCCCCCATGCGTTGCCATTCCTGAGGACTCAGGTGTTATTCCTCTGTACCCTGTAAATGCACGCCATATCCCACACTTCAAATCGAAACACAGCCATGTAAATACAGCTGCTTTACGGTTGAAACACGAATGGGACAGAGGTAACCAAGCAATCGACTTTTGTACAAAGCTCCCACTAGTAAATTTAGAACGGGAAACAAACTGACAGCTTACTTGATGGAAAGTGGTAACTGTCGCCTACAGACATGATGTAAATAGTAGAGTGCAGTAGTAATGTGATTGTAATATAATATATTTTGAATTTAATGAAAAAACATTTTTTTTTTATACTACTTAGAATGGCAAACAAGCTGACGGCCCACCTGATGGAAAGTGGTAACCGTCGCCTATAGACATGAGCAGTAGCATGGACATAACAGAGTATACTGTTTCGTCCATGATATTTCCCATGCGTTGCCATTCCTGAGGACTCAGGTGTTATTCCTCTGTACCCAGTAAATTCACGCCATATCCCACCCTTCAAACCGAAACACAGCCATGCAAACACAACTGCTTCATGGTTGAAACACGAATGGGAGGACGTACAAGTTTTATAAGAGACTGTCACCAAACAAATTTAAAAAACGATACATTTTCTAAAAAACAGCCAGTATTAAAACTGCAACAGTGATTTTAAAAACAATATCATATTCATAATATGTACATTTTTTTTTTATTGATTTCCCTTTTTTCTTATCACACAATATTAGTCCTTAAAATTTACTCAACTTATTTAACCATAGCGACAGATAAGTATACACATATACATAACAATAATTGTAATGAATTGGATATTTTTGCTTATAGTTTAAATTCCTTTCTTAAAATGGCAAAAGAAGTGTCTGAATTTAATATATAATTGTTCCCATTTTCTATAGTTGTTGTATATAATATTGAAACTAGTATAAGCTATCGCTGTGCGTAGGGGGGAAAGGGATTGTTAGTAATGGAGACTGAGAATCCTATTGCTAGCAATATACCCAACCAGGTCGACCTTCTCGCGGTTCTCCCTGGAAACTATCATGGTTAATTCCTGATGAATTCATCATGATGGGCTAACTGGCCTGTTTTCATTCTCATCTATCACCCTTCACTGGTGCTCCGCCAGCGTATCCCGTTAGCGCAGGCGGGGTTACCATACCATTATCACCCATCAAAAAAATAAAGAAAAAACGATGTGCGTAGTATTTAACGGTGTACAATTTTAAAACAATTACTTAGTTATAAAGCTTGTTATAGTCAATGTAATGTGAATTGTATTACTGTTGCTGTGCCTAAATAAATAAATAAATAAATAAATACATACATACTCACTATATAGAGATTAATACATACATATCTGTCACGCCTGTCTCCCATTAGGGTAGGCAGAAACAATGTAACGCCAAATGCTTCGATTCTAACAAACCTCTTTCGCTTCTTCCACATTCATCAATCTTTTCATACACGCTCGCCGGTTACGGGTACTTTTAATTTGGCCCTAATGATAATGTAAGATTAATGTATTCTTTAAATTACTATTTATTGATTACAGATCATTCTACTGAATCCGATCTGTATTATCGTCTACACGCTCGCCTCCTGGACATTCTTTCGAGAGCGTGTCTACGCAGAGGAGTTGACGTTACTGGCATTTTTCGGGCCGCAGTACGCGGAGTACCAGAAGAAGGTCGGCACTGGTCTACCGCTGATACCAGGGTACGTGCCGGAGAACACCAGCCAGCGAGTGAAAGATGACCACTGGAGTTACTGAAAGGTACTATATGTTACCACGAGGATAGGCCTAGTGACTCCAACAATACATGGTAAACGGTCCGCGCTCGTGTATAAATAAGTTTAGCAACTCGTGCGTAAACCGTAACGTAACTATCTGGAATGGCCTTTCCCGTGAAGCTTGTTCTTCATCTTATAACCTTGGATCCTTCAGATGAAGCGTGAAAAAGCACTTAGTGAGTTACCATAGTGCGGTCAACCATTGAGAGTAAGTTATTCTCATTTCGGCTGGTCGTATTCGTGGACTATATCGTCTCTGTGTACGTTCAGGATGGAGTAGTCACACGTCTTGTTATAATAAAAAAAAAACTCGAAAAGTTGAAGGATATACCGTCATAGTCGTAGAATACTGACGAATCTTTATATGTAATCTTTGTCAGATCCGTCAGTATTCTACGACTATGACGATATAACATAGTTTGTAAATAAAAATTTACAATTTATCTGATCTCAAGTATTCTTCAATCTTCTCTTCCTTCAACTTGGTTTCCATGACATTTTTCCTACGTTGAACAGTTACAATTGTAACATTTTTTTATATATTTCGTTTTTGGCCTCTTTACACCGCCATTCACACCGACTCTATGGTTGTCAATCCTAATTTGACCTCTTTTTAGAAAGACCCGATCCCAATTTGCCCTAACAACCTCGATAATCCTGGCCACAACATTCTTAGCTTGCGCAAGTGGTTTGCAACTTGGCAAGCAGGTTAGCAACCGCAGGTAGACTTTGGTGATGTTTTAAGAGGGACGTTGCTGCCCATCCCTCGTCTTAAGTTCCCTCAGTCACTTACGACACCCACGGGAAATAAACGGGGTGTGTTACAATGCTGTGTTCAAATTCTAATTGATCTGTTACACTAATTAGTGTATGAGAGTGAACTCTGCCTGTAAAAAAGTGGGACGTTACTATCTCTACAAAAGATAACGCCCCAGCCAAATGAAATGCCTTTACTTTAAGTGCTTTATTTTCTACATGTGTAAGAGAAAGAGCGACATTTTATTTATCTCTTAAAGTTCTGTCAATTTGTTAATATTGTCATTTTATAAAAAAAATACAAGCTAATGTAAAAATTAACAAGAAATAAATTAGATAATAGTTCAAAATCAATTGTTACGCTTGAATTGTTTGCTAACTCATATATAGAACTATATAATTTGTTAGGGGATGAAATTATTGTGATTCTTAGCAAAAAAATATCAATAGAATAGACTAATATTAAATACATATTGTCTAAATTTTCTTACCCTTAACCTAGTCAATAGAAAACGCTAGAATAACTCTTGTTTTTTTTATATTTGTCGTATTGTTAGTGCTCTGTGTGGCACGAGTATTTCAGCTCAGTTTAAATACTAAGATTTATATTTCAGTGTAATCCTAGAATAGGGAACAAACTGAAAGGTCTAAATATACAAGTACTTACTGTTTTTACATTGTATTAAAAGGCGTCTTCGACTTATTTTAATGTATTTTGGAGTAGAAGGGGAACGTTCAAATATTATGTAACGCAATTTTTGTCGATTTTTTACCCTCCCCCCCATGTAATGGGTTGTGATCTTTGTTCCCGCCGGTAGGGAAGAAGATCCCCGTCACACCGATGGCGCGTTATCAGCTACGCACCTACACAAGAAGATAGACAAAAATGTGCAAAATTTATAATTACATTTATTAATTTTAAAAGGTACATCAACAGTGTAAACGCAGATATTTATTTAATACACAAAGCTTGCATCTTACATTTACGTCAATTACAGATTCATGCATTTTCTAAAGACATCGATTTCACACTAATAAAATTGACACTAGCAAAACAAAGAAAAAATATATCATAATTTTTCACAAGTGATCGCAAAGTGAGAGCAATATTCTAATTTTAGTGGCGGATTCAAGATTTTTAAAACTGTTTTTTTTTTTTTGTACTGGATTAATCAAATACTGTCACTCTTAGAGTATGTATTACAAACATGTTTTGTATGTAAATGACCCCTGTTTAGGTTATGATGGGAGATGGCTCTTCAGAACCGAACACATTGTATGCTTCTGGTTTGTTCGATATTCTGAGATAATGTGCGTTTGACTTGTTTACTTACCTTTAGCTATGTAGGGGTGGGTAATATAATATATAGCAATATAGTTGGGAGATATATTTAGAGAAATGACGCCAATATTGATTGGGATGAGTAATAGCAATAAATATGTTTTAGTTACAATATATATATATATATATATATATATATATATATATATATATATATATATATATATATATATATATATATATATTAATTGTATTTCCCCCTGGAAACTATCATGGTTAATTCCTGATGATTTAATCATGATAGACTAAATGGCCTGTTTTCATTCTCATCTATCACCCTTCACTGGTGCTCCGCCAGCGTATCCCGTTAGCGCAGGCGGAGTTACCATACCATTTTCACCCATCAAAAAGAAAAATGTTCAAAGTCTCTTATCCAAAAAATTATATTTGATAACAGACTTTTAACACATTCAAATATAGATATCCGACCGATATCGGCGATATCGAAATGGTTGATGACCTTTTTTCCACCATCAATGTGCAGAAGAACCCAGAATAACTCAATATATAGGTATCCGATCAATATCCATGTTACCCATGCCTGTAGCTATGATACGAATGAAGCATTTTGTTCAAATACTAATATAAAATGTATATATTGTAATTTCTATATTATTCTTCTTAAATTTTTCATAACAGTTTTGTAAATACGAAGAAATATTAATTGTAATTAATTAAATATTGTTTAGTTTTATATTCGATTTCTTACTATTGTATAGTTTAATGTATCATACTGTACAACTGTGTATAGGCTTACGTGTATTGTACAAAGGTTGTGAATGAACTGATTCATTGCGTTTAAATATAATATATTTATATTGTAATAAACAGAGGTAATAAATATATCCATATTGAAGTATACATAGTATTACACAATTTGCCCTTCTTTGCATAATGGTGGAAATTTCCATCATAACATTGAATGTCCAAAAATTATTTAAAAGAACAAGTTCACTTTAATTTGATCGTGTCTGGATACCTTTTTAATGTTCATTGCAGAAAAAAAAAACATAGCTGTCATATTTATTTTTTTTAATCATTTTTCCTTTAATTTTGAACATGAATTATATCACCTTGATTTATTTCAGTAATAAACAAAAAAATCATGCAAAGAAGGGTTAAAGATGTTTTAGAATTGTATAGAACCTGAGTCCAGCCACCGTACTCTGTTACAATAAATAAGCGTAATTAAAACTTATTCCAATTTATTGTATCTTGTCTTAATATTTCTGTATTATAACTTGGTACATACATATTTGAAAAATAAACTGGGTATATAATTTTTTATTTTTTTTTTTTATTTTTCAAGTTTCTCATGAATATGTAGGTTTCCTTGCACTTTGGCGTCAAATTATTACAAGTGACTTTTTTTTTATACAACTTAGAATGGCAAACAAGCTGACGGCCCACCTGATGGAAAGTGGTAACCGTCGCCTATAGACATGAGCAGTACCATGGACATAACAGAGTATACTGTTTTACCCATGATACCCCCCATGCGTTGGCAACGCATGGTTCCTGCGGACTTAGGTGTTATTCCTCTGTACCCTGTAAATTCACGCCATATCCCACCCTTCAAACCGAAACACAGTCATGCAAACAGCTGCTTCACGGTAGAAACACGAATGGGACAGAGGTACCCAAGCAATTGACTTTTGTACAAAGTCTCCCTCTGGTAAAAGCATTCACAGCATTTGCTTTAACATAATTATACAGTATGAAATGAAATAAACAATTTTAAGGGATTAAATAATACTAGATTACAAATATTTTAAAAGTTGCGTTATTAGATATGGAAATATACATGTGACCTGAGTTGTGAGTGATATCAGTAAATACGATTATAAGTGAATTAAATTAACAAATATGAATATATATATATATATATATATATATATATATATATATATATATATATATATATATATATATATATATATATATTATAATTAGAGTTACTTTTTATTAGATTATTGTACAAAGTGTTTCAGCAATTTATTCCTGTAGGAATTCGAACTAGTTATTTCTCTGAATTTTGAAAGGGCGTGCCATGTCATCGTAGATAATCTATATATACATTCGAAATCATCAGCGCTCTTGTAGATACATACCTATTAATATTATTACAAAAATATTTTTTATTCACTTTTCATGGCATTTTTAAAATTTTATATACGTTTATTTACTTCTATATCATGAATTAATGAATGGCATAAAGGATCAATAAACTTGCAGCAGCAAGTTTTTTATACTACATACTACAGTGGCAAACAAGCATACGGCTCGTCTGAGGGTTACTGTAACCTATGGACGCCTGTAACACTAGGGACGTCACGCGACCCTTAAGAAACCTTAATACGCTTTTAATATTTTTTGAAGAACTTCATGCTGTTACATGAAATAAAAAAATAAAAAAAAAAACTAGATATATTTCTGTTATCTGGGACTGGTTTTTCAGTGACTAGGTCCCCTAGACCAGGCCCTAAATAATCTTAAATATGTCAATAGTTAAGAACTATATTAATACTATTTCATATACCAGCATGAATCTTTATACAAACATTCTGCATGGGTACCTCTGTCCCACTCATGTTTCTCAGCTGTGCTCGCAAGGCTGTGTTTCGGTTTGAGAAGCAGTGTAATCACGAAGTAAGGAGACATAATACCATAATCCTCAAGACAAGGAATAACATGTTAAATTATTACATTAGGAGTATTTATTTACCTGTAAAAATAGTGTAGATATAAAATAAATAAATAAATAAGTCGCATCTACGTCCGTCTGTATTTACAGATTAATTCAATCTGGTCTAACATGAAATTAAAACCTGTTTTGTCGTAATACCTATATGAATTTCGGCGTGCATGACCTAGTCGCCACTTTCACTATCTCTCACACAAAGAGTGTTTAATTGAATCATACAATTCATACACAATGAGAGAAATTTAATCCTACCCATTGAATTGTGACTTTAACGTGAGCCAATCATTTTATAATGATAATAACGTTTCATTGAGGGAGACTTTGTACAAAAGTCGATTGCTTGGGTACCTCTGTCCCATTCGTGTTTCAACCGTGAAGCAATTGTGTTTGCATGGCTGTGTTTCGGTTTGAAGTGTGGGATATGGCGTGAATTTACTGGGTACAGAGGAATAATACCTGAGTCCTCAGGAATCGCAACGCATGGGGGTATCATGGGCGAAACAGTATACTCTGTTATGTCCATGGTACTGCTCATGTCTATAGGCGACGGTTATCACTTTCCATCAGGTGGGCCGTCAGCTTGTTTGCCATTCTAAGTTGTTTAAAAAAAATACATCATAATGTGATGGAATTAATGATAAGTAGCTTACACATTCGACCAGTTTGGCATGCAACATTTTTATACATAATTCATGAAATTCTATATATCTATTATTTGGTATTTATTTGCCAATTAACAGTTCATTATATTATTAATATTTTATTCATTGTAGTATATAAAAGAGCCTTTAAAAAAATAAATATTTTATTTAATAATAAAGTATTTACTTTTACACTAAAACATGGTAACTTATAGCAAATGTGGAGCTCAAAATAAGTTGTAGCATATTTTTTTTTGATGGGTGAAAACGGTATGGTAACCCCGCCTGCGCTAACGGGATACGCTGGCGGAGCGCCAGTGAAGGGTGATAGATGAGAATGAAAACAGGCCAGTTAGCCTATCATGATAAATTCATCGGAAATTACCATGATAGTTTCCAGGGGGAACCGCGAGGAGGTCGACCTGGTTGGGTATATTGTTAGCAATGAGATTCTCAGTCTCCATTACTAAAAATCCCTTTCCCCAGTTGTAGCATATTAAAGTAAGTTATATGAACAGTATTGATTTCCAATGAAAAAAATAAAATAGATTGTTAATTTTATTTTGGCAGAGCCTTTTGCTTTGTAGTTAGGGGTTTCCACCGTAAACTTGTTTAGAGCTGTTTAGGAAAAATTGATATATGGAGATTATTTAAGAGTAATAGGAGCCATGGCAACGCATGGGGGGTATCATGGGCGAAACAGTATATTCTATTATGTCCACGGTACTGCTCATGTCTATAGGCGACGGTTACCACTTTCCATCAGGTGGGCCGTCAGCTTGTTTGCCATTCTAAGTTGTATAAAAAAAAAAGCCAAAACAATATTTTAAAATTTATATATACCGAAACATCGGCGTCACTTAAAAACTATTAAATGAATGGATGCAATTTTCACAGTTCTAAGTCTAGAAGTGACCTATTTTATCAGTTTTCCTTCTGTTAAAATCCACGCGTTCGCTGTAACATGTAAAAGGTAGGTAGTTAGATAATAAATTTTTCAGTAGCCAGAAGTGTTATTAATATTCCGTTCAAGTTTACGGTGGATACCCCTGACCTCTTGCCTTGCCACTAGGTGTATTATGTAGGTCAGTTCTTATATGTCAGCTAGTTGCAATCTTCGGCATGAAACATCATGTAGTCGTAGTAAATATACAAATGTGACCAAAAGCATTAGCGTTCCTATAATGGAAACCAAATATTTTTCATGAAATGTTAATCAAAACACGTCTTCTTCGTCCTATATTTCTCCGGGAAAAAATGTTCACGTCCTTTTTCGATATCATACCGTATGTGTTACTAGAAACATAAGACCGGCCCACCGCGCAGCCGGGCGGAACTAAACAATATCTAAAAGGCCAACCACAGTCGCCATTCCTATCAATTTAGCAGTGGCAGCGCGGCGCACGGTCCTGACGGAAGTATGGAGCAGCACGGGTGAAACCAGCGCCGCCGGTGACCGCGAACTTGACGTCACGCCGAAGAAAGCACGGCCTCCGGCTCCGGGGCTCGCCGTCGCCAGTCCTCGAGCGACGACCGCGCTGTACGCACGCACGCGACATGGACGAATGCGGCTCATACAAACATTAAAATGTCATTCCGGCGGTTGATTAGCGCGGTGCGGTCGGCCCGGGAGGCGCTGACCCGCGGTGCGCCCATGGCGGACGGTCTCCTCAAATCTTTGGTATCCTTAATGGTGATATTTTGCATCGCGGTGTCCTCGCCACCGTCGGCGTGTGCTAAGCCGTTCTCGTTCAGTCTCCCGGCGGGGTGGTCGCTGGCGGGGCTGGTCGGCAGCGTGGGGGCGCGCTCCGAGGACGCCGAGCGGCGGGAGGCGGCCGGCGTGAAGCCGTACACGGGCCGCCGCGTCAGCAACGACACCCTGCGGATGATCTACTACCACGACCAGACGGTCGCCGTGGTGGAACTGGGCCCCGGCAAGCTGCTCCTCAACTGCGAGCTCATCGAAACATAGTGAGTCACTTGATGTAATCAATCGTCTCATTTTACCGTTCTTTATATATATATATATATATATATATATATATATATATATATATATATATATATATATATATATATATAATTGCAACCGTTACAAAAATATAAACCTATTTCAAGAAGGAGGTACTTTATTATATTTTATATTTTTTTTAAATTAATGATAATGGAATAGTAACCCCACCTGCGCTAACTGTATACACTGGCGGGGCACTAGTAAGGGATGATTGGTGAGGATGGTAAGGTAGGTCAATTAGCCCATCGTCATGAATTCACATGAAATTAAACACGATTATTTCAAGAGGGAACCGCGAGGAGGTCGCCCTGACAGGTTGTATTGCTAGCAATAGAGCTACTCATCCCCGTTATTAACAATTCCTTCTCCTCTACTATGGTTTAATTAGGTTTGTCCACGAAATCCTTACTAGTATTATAAATATTCAAGTGAGTTTGAGTGTTTGTCTGTTTGTTGCCTTAAAACGCCTTAACGGCTTAACCAATTATTATGAAATTTGATATACACGTACTATATAGTATGGAGAAGATTGTAGACTACTTTTTATGCCGGTCAGTGAACAAATCGCAGTCACGTGAACGAAGTCACATGTAAAAGCTAGAGATCTATAAATCGCACAATAACCCAAATGCATACTTATATGAAAATGATAATTAGAAACAATGAAACGTAAAATTAATTCAGAGAATTAATTTAATTTCTTAATTATTTTTTTAAAGACCATATTTTAATGCTAAGATTATGAATGACCGAATTACTTATAAAAATTCACGCTCTGTTCTCCGAACAAACAAGAAAAATAAACACTGCATCTCAGAGTGCACGCGATAGTCGTAGGCAGTGTTTCTCAACCTTTTTTGTGCCATGCCCCACTTGAACGTTTTTAAAATGTTTATGCCCCCATACATAATTTTTTCCGACAAAGTTTACTTGACGACTCTAATCGCCCAGTTGATGTTTTGATAACGTCAAACGAAATTATACCTAATAAATATTTACAGCATTTTTTTATTTACTTTTTTTTGTTAAATTTGTCACCGATATCTACTCGTAGCATTGCATTTAAATGGCTCGGAGCAAGAGCGTTAAAATCGCTTCGAGTTAATTTTTTAATCCCCCCTCTTAACTATCAAATTGCCCCCCTGACGCGTGGGACTCACATTGGGAAACACCGGTCGTAGGTATCCTAGAAGCAGTGAGACAATTTTATTTCAAATAATTTCAAACGAGGGGGAAGGCATTGTTAGTAATTGCGAACTACCAATCGCATTGCTAGCATTGTACACTATCAGGTCGTGGTCCCCCATGGAAACTAGGCTAACATATATAATAGGAAAATAGGCTACAGCTCAGCGATAGTTTTGCTTAAAAGCACTGATTTTCAGCTGCAGCCTGAAGTTAGGCTACACGTACGCGTGCAACGAACCCAACGTGTAACCCTGTGTGACCAGTTTAAAAAAATAAAATTGTATTATATAGATACACATTTACATAAAAGATGTATAAATAATATAGTGGCGGTCCTCCACCGTGCGTTTTTCAAGGCACTTTCTCCCACGCACAAGCACTCTTTGGAATCAACTTCCAGCAGCAGTATTTCCGAACCGATACGACAACATAACCTTTAAGAAAAGAGCATATTCCTTTTTAAAAGGCCGGCAGCACACCTGCAATGCCGTTGGTGTTGTGGGTGACCATAGGCGGCGGTAGTCACTTACCATCAGGTGAGCCGCATGCTCGTTTGCCCCCTGTGTTATAAAAAATAAATATTTCATTAATCAATTAAACATGCAATATAAACAATTCACCACAGTAATTACTATATTGAATAGTTCTCGGATACCTTCAGGCGGTGCATTAATGTGCTGGTAACACAAACATAATATCCAGTCTCAGCGTGGAAATGCAGCAAGTACCTATCCTAGGCACCCTACCAGCTGGCAGTTATCTCAAAGAAATTTTTTATCTTTAAATATATATATATATATATATATATATATATATATATATATATTTTATATATATATAAATTTTTTTAATTAATTATCTCTAATTATATATATATAGGCTAGTAGTTGTTAGTACAGTGTATTAGGTTTTAGTTAGAGCGGAATATACTTACAAGTAATAATAGTATCCAGTCTATATCACGAATATTCAAGTTCACCTTCGTAACACGAGTCATCCACAGTGATTTGCCAGGAGACGAATGTATCCGATCATTATGTATTATTACGTGGAGGCGCGGTTTTAAAATCGATCGGTTCTAAGTGGTCCAGTCGTCGCTGCTAACTCGGCAAAGATATTAAACGTCCCGGATTCGATTCTATGTTTTAATAAGAAATTTTGACCAACAATGCTTCTTTGTACAATTTAGAATGGCAAACAAGTTGTCTGCCCTTGACGGAAAGTGGTAACTGTTGCTAATCTTTAGAACACACCCTTCAAAATTTCAAACCGAAACACAGCCAAGTAAGTACAGCTGTTTCATCAAAAATACGAGTGGAGCTGAAGTGCTCAAAAAGCAATGTCTCTCTAGTTTGTTTTGGTACTTTAAATTATATGGATAGAGTGTCCCCATAGAAATGTTTAAAGAAAAACGGGTAAATTTTTTCATACAATTTTGCGTGATAAATAGTTATCAATGATTCCTTTTATAACTTTAATATTTATTTTGTATTATAAATTCTGCATCTTTTTAATGCGTAAACACTCATTTTATTTATTAAATAATACGTCAAGATGCATTTTATGCGTAAGTATGTAGAATACTGATAGAAAAAACGAGTCGACTAATTTGACAATTAGCTGACAAAATGTTGACCCATTTCTGAGGCTCTATGCTCTATGTACATAATCTAAGTTTTGGTATTGTATATTTGTATATCCGTCATTTGTTTAAAACAAACTGATTTACATACGAACATGCATGTAATACTTGTGACTGTCCATCAATTATTGTATTGTATTGATATTTCATACTCGAACACACAGGTCCATTTTCCTCGTGTATTCATTCTTCGGTATTGTTAACCCATATAACGAGATGGTATACAATTTGACAATATTTTTCGTCAGTATTCTAAGCTGTTCTGTTCTAATTAAGATGACATTACTTTTGCAACTGATAACGTTTGCTCCCCTATTGATTTCATAATAATTTTGTCATTGATTGATTAATGTGGCCGTCTTATCGAAATATTTTTAATCTAGTAAATACTAGTATTGGTATTCATATATTTGTAAATTTTAAGCATGATTTTTATATATCTCTTTATTTAGAATATTAGAAGTGTTTCTTATTGATTTTATTTATTTATTTATGGTAATAAACAGTCATTTACAAAATATTTATACAATATACATCACGGTTTTACAGCAATAGACTTCACAGTGTCAACAACAGTATTTTAAATATAGTGTTACTAGGAGCCCGTCCCGGCTTCGCACGGGTGCACATTTCTACAACATTTTAAAAAGTGGTTATTGTGACATAACGATAATAGTTGGACACATAGTATCGCTATCATTTCATTAAAATTATTTCAGACATTTAAACGCGTTTGTGTAATAAATATATTTATTAACTCAATATTATATGCTTTAACAAATCCAAATTTCATTTTTATATCTAGTTAAATTGATTAGAAATAAATTTTTATTTCAGTTTAATTGATCATAGATTTATTTGTAACGGACGCCTAGTGCGAGGTCCAATGTTGAAAATGTCTGAAATGTCAAATATTTGTCAATGACAAATTTTACATTACTAGATTATATATTCGACACAGTTTATGTAGACAGTATGCAAGCGGGTTGTATCTGAATTTGGTAGGGTTATACTGCCGTGTAACATTTTCTATACACTAGTCTGCTACGAAGTTTTGATGTTATCATTCCTTCTAGGTAATTTCTTGTTCTTAGATCTTGGTAATCTCTTATGGAGGGGGGAAGGGATTGTTAGTAATGGAGACTGAGAATCCCATTGCTAGCAATATACTCAACCAGGTCGATCTCCTCGCGGTTCCCCCTGGAAACTATCATGGTTAATTCCTGATGAATTCATCATGATGGGCTAACTGGCCTGTTTTCATTCTCATCTATCACCCTTCACTGGTGCTCCGCCAGCGTATCCCGTTAGCGCAGGCGGGGTCACCATACCATTTTCACCCATCAAAAAAAAATCCCTTATGGACTTCCGACATACTGGTTGGCCTAGTGCGGGGTCCAATGTACTCTATTTAATTAATAAATAATAAAATAAAAATATTAAATGTTATTTTTTTTACTTTTAAACTTATTAGTTTTGGCTGTGTGTCGATTGTCTAGTCAGTCAGAGCACACGAAGCGTAGATTAGTGGGATGAGGAGCATGTGTGCTGTGCACGTAACCGTCGCCGCGTCGGCCGTCCATTATATAGTTACCATTACATGTGACATTCATACGCAGCTCCGCATTGTCCGTGTGTATGTCGCAATCGACTCTCGGCTGGGCTGAACTTGCCCTTGTACGGTCGCTTGATGACTACCAAAACACTTGTAGGTGTATGAATCATTACCCTTTAATGTTTTACTATTGCACGGCTCTGGGGCTCTATAGACAGATAGATAGATAGATACTCTTTATTGTTTCCTCCAAAAGATTACAATAGTAAACTTATTATAGATATAAACATTCATTTACATTTAAGAGTTTCCTCTTGTTTGTGCAACTAATTCATGCATCTTCCTCCAGCCAGCTCTATCCCAGGCCATATCCTTTATCTCCCTATACGACATGACGCCTAGTGTTTCCTTTGTCTGTCCCATGTAGTTAATCCTCGGTCTTCCTCTACCTCTTTTGCCCTCTATCTTTCCTTCTATTATGCTCTTAAAAAAATCGTCTTGTCGTATAAGGTGGCCCAGCATTTTGCCTCTTCTATTCTTTATTATTTTAATTAATGTTCTCTTCTCATTTA